AGAGGCGTGTATTTGAGCACATTGAACATTGAGCCAACATCTTAAACCAACATCATATTGACGTCAAATACTGACATTTATTACAACTGACGTTGGGTTCTGATGTCAACCTAATTTTCATTTACAAACAAAATGCAATGTCGCCATAACGTTGGGGTACAACGTCAATATGAAGTCATGTTGACATTCTGTGCCTGCTGGGTAGGGTTGCACAATACTGGAATTTGGTACCAATCTATACTTAAACACTGCTGATTTAATATTGTGTTTACGTGCTCAACAGAAATGACTGTGATTGGCCGTGAACATCATTAGTTCAATGAACTCACCGCTGATTACTGAGTGTAACCAGAAATACAGGGACACTGGAGTGTTTCAAAGTCACATCGATCAGCTGGTTTGTCTATAAGCTGACATACGAGTGATCCGCTGATGATTCGCGGCTTTAAAATGCTCCAGTGTCCCTGTATCCGTGTTCACTCAGTAAACAGCGGTGAGTTCGGCGAACTGATGACCTTCACGGCCAATCACGGCCATTTCTGTTGAGCACGTGAACACGATGGCAGTCATTTGGTATCAAATTCTAGTATCATGACAACACTTCTGCTGGGAAATATTTGATTAGATATTTTTCTAGATACTAGTATTCAGCTTAAAGTGCAATTTAAAGGGTCACGAAACACCAAAACACATTTTTTGAGCTGTTGACAGGCGTATATGTGTCCCACACTGCTAAAAACACTATTAGGACACCTATATTTCACTAAAAAGTGTAAATTGGTTGTTTTTGCGATATTTCAAGCAAATTTGTACTTCCTGTTTGAAACGAATTTTTGAAGCTGCGTCACGGTCATGACATAATAGCGTTGTATTCCAGCGTGCAGACTGGCATCTGTGCCAGAGTGAGTCTTATTACGTCTTACAGTGTGATACATTAATGCATGAGTAAGGCTTGGTTCAAACCAATCAGCGCGCTCTATTGTGGAACTTCATTAATATTCATTAGTGTCACCGTGTTTACGCCACAAAGACGCCACGTTGTGTTGGTAAAACAAGCGTGAAGTGTTGCTTTTATAGTTTGCTGCCGTTAAGTTTCGTTTTCATTTTCTCTCTGTGAGAGCTCAGTCTCACGTGTGGATTAACAGTGTACGCGACGCTCGACAACAATAACTTACGTGTCTGAGGATTATTGTTTACCTGAGAACTGTTCTCATCTGCAAACGCTGAAATCTGAATTCGCTTGTAGTATTCTCTCCATATAGACGCGGCTCTAGTTGCTGGTGATTGTTCTGTCTCTACAGATTTGGTAAGTGAGCGACCAGTGCTCTTTGTTTATTCAGTTTGTTCGTATCGAATTAAGTTACTATTGCACTGAGTGCAGAAATGTAAGCACCGCATTTTGTGACCGGAATAACACACGCGGCTTTCTGATGCTACCTGCCGTGTGCATCTAAGTTTCCGGGAAATGCAGAGTTTTTTTCTCTCTCATTCGCCGTGCGGTATCAAACATTGCACGAAAAATACACGCTTGCAGCAGTTCCTTGAATCAAATATCTCGTTTGTCGCGAGAGGCATGAATGAATTCCCTGAATGAAAGAGCCAAACTGCAGTTAAAGTCCAACTTTTAATAATTTGGCAAATAATTCGACTACAGATGTCCATGTAAACACAGTCACATTGTCCGCTGTGGGTGTGTATTTTGACTCTGAAACTCGCGCGTGCACAAATAGACACTCCCACACCATCCCACTTTAGTTCCTCCCACACTCCCCCCTAAACAGAGCTGGACACGCCTACTTTTCTGACTTTTTCCAAAGTGGAGGTGTGAAAACACCCTGCTGAAACGAGGGGGTTTCATGGCCCTTTAAAGGTGTTACTAGGGTAATTAGGCAAATCATTGTATAACTGTGGTTTGTTCTGTAGACAATCAAAAACAAATATTGCTTAAGGGGGCCAATAATATTGACCATAACATGATTAATTAAAAACAGTTTTTTCTAGCTGAAATAAAACAAATAAGACTTTCTCCAGAAGACAAAAATATTACAGGAAATACTGTGAAAAATTCCTGAATCTGTTCAACATCATTTGGGAAATATTTTTAAAAAATCCACAAGAGGGCGACACTTGAGGAGACACTTTAAATTACAAAAAAATAAACTAATTATTTAGTGTTTTAATCTGAAGACTTCCATATAAACGATTCCTTTAGGATCTGTTACCTGTTTTGACGTACTCAACAGCACTCAAATGTTAACAGGAAATGGACATTTTTTTTTTTACATTTCAGTACTGATTGGTACTGTACTCAATATTTTTGACAACTCTACTATAAATGTATCACATTTGATTACAGAGCGGCTTTATAGACCATTTTGAGGGATGTAAACAAAAACAATGGCCCCAATGTATTGCCTGTTTTATTTTTTTAAAATTCTCTAGCTTCCAAGAACCCAAAAAGAGCCACATATTGATGAATAATGCTATGATAGCCGTTTCAACATTAAGTTGGGATTGAATTGACTTTTGTTACAGTTATGAAATAGTTTGGTAACAAGCAGGAAATGTTCATGGCCATATGGCATCACCACATTGAAATGGTCTATAAACAAATGTGAAATCTCTAAAAATCTCTACTTCTCGGCCCAATTAAGTATGTATGAATGAATGAATAAAACCAAGGCATCACCTGTTTGGATGTGAGGACTCTCTGGATCAGTGGAACTGCATAGGCGGCTGTTTTTCCGGATCCGGTTCGAGCTCGGGCCAGCAGATCTTTCCCCTCCAGTGCCAGAGGGATGGCTTTCTCCTGGATAAGGGTTGGTTGAGACCATCCTAAATCCGCCAGAGCCTGAGAAACAAACTCAGCACTGAATGACTCAGAAATACAGACTGAAGTACACCCGAGTTTTTACACTGCTCACACATTTAGACAGTGATGCATTTGACTGTAATAGTATTCTGAAGATAACAATGATTATAATTTATTATCAATATAATAATGTGCCTTAACAGAAAGTCAATGTCAATATAATTAGCAAAAACAAAAGCTTTTTTATTTGCATTATTTGCATTATTAGCAAAACGAGCCACTTTAAACTTTGATAATTCACAGGTAAAAAAGTAAATCATGAATAGTTTTACCAAATAAATTGGATTTGTCTATTTTTGAATCGTGTTTTGAACTTATATATTGGATTTTGTAAATATTAATTGTGTTGTGGATGTGTGAATTTTATTTTGTAAATAGCAAAGCACTTCATTTGAAGGCAAATTTCTTAATATTTGGATTTTTTTGACCGGTCAAGTTTTAGATCAGTACAATTTTATATGTTCTTATTTTAGTGAAATTGCTTCTGCTCACCAAGTCTGCACTGATTTGTTTCAAAGTATAAACATTAAAATGTTGAAATATTTAAAGATAACTTTTTTATTAATATTTTTTATTGCTGATATCAAAAATGATTTTTTAGCATAATTAGTCACAAGGTCCTTCAAAAAGCGTTCTAATATGCTAATTTTCTGTTTAAAACATTGTATTTGTATTTTTAACACCTAATATTTATTATTATTTAAAAGAAAACAGTCTAGTAAAATTATTTATTGAGGTAAACTTGGTTTTATATTTGCACATTCGTTCATTTAACTGTCTCTATGTTGTTTACCATGCTCATTTGAATATTCAATCAAAAATAGCATGCAAGTATGACTTCAAAACAACATCAACACTATCTAATTGACTGTAAACATGGTTGTACTTTGATAGTGATTGGCTGCTAATATGATTTTCTAATTTAGTATTTGCAAAAAATACTTTTCTGAAATTATATTATTAAGCAGAATATCTGAATATAAAACCACTTAGCTTACTTAGCTCTATAAATTTGTTCAGCTTTCTTTGATGAATATTAAGTCAAACACAGCAACACAAAACAGCATTTCTATCTGAAAGAGAACCATTTTGTGACATTGGGAATTTCTTAATCGTCACTTTTGATGAATTTAAAGCTTTTATTGCTTAAAAGCATTCATTTCTATAATTTCTTCACTGAAAAAATGATGACTCTTAAGCTTTTGAATCATACAGTGTATAATGTTACAAAAACTTCCTAATTCTTTCTAATCATAGAATCCAGAAAGGCAATTACTCAACCTAAATACTCAATAAATAATGATAATAATAAATTATGTTCTTAGCAGCAAATCCTACAATAATTTCTGAAGAATCAGGTGACTCGATGCTAAAATCCAGTCTTTAATTAAAAGGAATAAATCAAATTAGAAAAAAAAATATTTAAAAAGGGAAAAAGGTAATTTTAAATAGTAAAAATATTTCATACAACCTTACAGGACTTTTTACGTGTGTGTAAAAATAACATGAACTTTTGTAAACACATTCTTCAGTTAACTTTAAATTCCACTTCCTGCCTAACGTTAAATAAACGACATTTTAACAAACAGCTTGAACACGTCATAATGAAAAGTATAATAACAAAAACAACACAACTTATTAACCAATCAAAATTATAAACAATTTAACGTTACTCCATTTCAGAAATGACAGCGTGATGTTCGCGTGATAATATAAAGACCAAACGAACATTTAAAAACGTACAAATGGAACCTGCTATCCTGCCATAAAATATTCCAAAGCAGATGGAGGTTATATTATTAGCAGTAATACAACATTTTACCTTTAACAGTCGATCATCTAAACCCATCTCATGAAAGCGTACGCTGTCCTCCTCCATCTTCACACGTGTGTTTGCGCACAGGAGAGAGAAATCCTGAAAACCGCCGCTTCTCAGCGCCACCAAACGTCCTGGAAGAGAACTGCAGGTCAAACCGAACGACCTTTTTATCATAAACACGAGCGTTTACGATGAATAACAAAGCGTATAAAACAAGCAATGGATATTTACGTCACATTAATAAACGTTTTTGTAATTTTCTAGCGTTTAAGTAACAATAAATCGCAGTTGAAGGCGTTTCACATGCAGTTACACGGACTGACCTTCTGAGGCCGCTAATGCCGAACCGCCCATTCGATGAACTGACACACGAAACAAACAAAAGCATCAACGTAGATTAAAAAACAACCACGAACACAAAATACACGTAAGTTTGACCTTTTAATTATCGCCTCATGTTCATTAATATCCCCCCTATTAGTTACGTCTTAAATAAAAGTCTGTGGATACGCGAAATGAGTGTTACTGTAATGCTAATGCTGTAGGAAGTGAATATCACACACACACATTGACCAAAACAGCTAGCATAACAAATCATCAATTCTTTAATTCTAATATTTTTTAATTTATGCATTTTTTCCATTGTGTATGCATGTTTCCCAGAAGCAATCATTATACTTTCTTTTGCATGCAAAGGAGAAACGAAAATCTGATATGGAGACTCAGGTATATATATATATATATATAATGGGAATTCGTTCATTATTATTTATTATTGTTGTTATTTTTGATGCATTATTGTGTAAACACTGAATTATACTATGTGTTCAGATGAGGCAGCGTGTGTTTACTGGGGTGGTCACTCAGATGCAGGAGCATCATGGGATTGTGGATCAGGATGTTCATTTTCCAATGAGGTTTGCATGACTGAGTATGAGTTATTATTCATAGAATGAGTATCTAGTTGAAGTCATGGAGTTGTTATGCATTGTCCTGCAGTGTTGTGGTTGGTCGTATGCCTGTTGTGGGTGAAAAAGTGTTGGTGAAAGCAATCCAGGACTCTCAAAAGCCCATCAGCTGGACGGCACAGAAAGTTCAGACCCTGAACGGACAGGTGAGTAATAGTGTGATGTAAATCTTAAAGGGACAGTTCACCAAAACATTTCAATTCTGTAAACATATACTTGTCATTTAAAGTTTTACCAGGTTTGAATCCATTCAGCCAATGTCCAGGTCTGTCAGGAACACTTTTAGCTTAGCTTAGCATAGATCATTGAATCGGATTAGACCATTAGCTTCTGGACAGGTGAGCAGTAATGTGATGTACATCTTAAAGGGACAGTTTACCAAAAATTTCAAACATTTCAATTCTGTAAACATATACTTGTCATTTAAAGTAGAGTTTTATAATTTTTTAATCCACTCAGCCGATCTCCGGATCTATCGGGAACACTTTTAGCATAGCTTAGCATAGATCATTGAATCAGATTAGACCATTAGCATCTCATTTAAAAGAAAGAAAGAAACATTTTCAATTTAATCTGGACGCTTCTATAGATACACTGTGTACCATCAGCTGGACGGCACAGAAAGTTCAGACCCTAAAGGGACAGGTAAGCAGTAATGTGATGTACATCTTAAAGGGACAGTTCACCTAAAATTTCATTTTTTAATCAGGTATTTGTCATTTAAAGTTGAGTTTTACCCCTTTTCAATCCATTCAGCCAATCTCAGAGTCTATCGGGAACACTTTTAGCTTAGCTTAGCATAGGTCATTGAATCAGATTAGACCGTTAGCTTCTAGACAGGTGAGCAGTAATGTGATGTACATCTTAAAGGAACAGTTCACCTAAAATTTAATTCTGTATTCATATACTTGTCTTTTAAAGTTGAGTTTTACCATTTTTGAATCCACTCAGCCGATTTTTCAATTCTAACGGGAGCACTTTTAGCTTAGCTTAGCATAGATCATTGAATCGGATTAGACCATTAGCATCTCGCTCAAAAAAATAAGAAAGATTTCCTATTTAAGCTTGACTCTTCTGTAGTTACATTGTGTACCATCAGCTTGAAGGCACAGAGAGTTCAGACACTGAACGGACAGGTCAGCAGTCATGTGATGTACATCTTAAAGGGACAGTTCACTAAAACATGAACACATGAAATGCATTTACCATGTTCTTTAACATAAATATTTATATGAACTTTTGTTTATATTTAACCATTGTGTTTTGTGAAAATGCTCAAATAATGAAAAATAACCTAATCTTGAAATTGAAAAAGTTAATATGTGATATTCCCCTATAATTGCTAGTGTTTAATTAACAGGTTATTTTTATGTCTGATCTCCAGAACATCTGAACTGTCTTGTTTTTTTCTCTCAGCCCTTTAAATCTCCCCCTCCGCTGCTGCCCTCCATGTCATCCACTCTGAAGCCGGGGATTTTAGGGACCAAACCACAACCTCTGCTGAAATCCCCCAAAATACCACCGCTGATTCCCAGTATGCAGCCAAATTCTGGTACTGAATTTTTTTTATGTTTAGATTTTTATTAATAAAGCATTATCATTTACAATTGAAGTCAGAATTTTTTGTCCCCCTCTTTATTTTTTCCCCAATTTTTGTTTAACAGACAAAATGTTTTCAACACATTTCTAAACATGATAGTTTTAATAACTCATCTCTATTAACTGATTTATTTTGTCTTTGCTATGATGACAGTAAATAATATTTGACTAGATATTTTTCAGGATAGTAGTATTCAGCTTAAAGTGACATTTAAAGAGATAATTTGGTCAATTAAGCAAGTTAGGGTAATTAGGCAAGTCATTGTATAACAGTGGTTTGTTCTGTAGACCTTTGAAAGAAAAAATGCTTAAGCGGGCTAATAATATTGACCTTAAAATGATTTCTAAAAAATTAAAACCTGCTTTTATTCTATCAGAAATTAGACCTTCTCCAGAAGAAAAATATTATGGAAAATACTCTGAAAACATCCTTGCTCTGTTAAACATAATTTGGGAAATATCGGGAAATAAAATAAAATACAGGAGCACGAATAATTTTGACTTTAACTGTATGTATTTCATCATCTTTGCATCAAAATCTGCTTGTGCAATGTGTTTCTAATGTAGTGTCTATGCAGGCAGGACAGTAAATCTGCAGTTGTTTTCTCTTCTGGCTTTTTCTTTTTCTGAAAGTCTCGATAACACCTTCGTGGACTTTTTTTCTTTTATTATTTCAGCAATAGGATTGTAAAACAATTATTTTCTTGTACTCTGACATTCACTGCACTCTAAGGGCCCTATCATACACCCGGCGCAATGCGGCCCAAGGTGCGACACAATAGTTGTTTGCTAGTTTCAGCTCAGCGCAAAAGTCGTTTTGACGTTTTGCACCACGCTGTTTAAATAGCAAATGCATTTGCGCTCCTATGCGCATCATTCTGGTCTAAAAAAGGAGGCGTGTTGAGACGCATTGCTGGTGCGTTGCTATTTTGAGGAACTAGAATAGACTGTTCAATAGACCAGATCAAAGCCGGTCTAAAGTCCAGCGCAGAGCGCGTTAGTTGAGCACCGCACTTACACATGGCTTATTACACACAGGATGTACAGCAATGCGCAAATATCTTTACAAATGAAAAAGAATTAAAGGATTAAAATATTACAAAAATGTTTATTTTCTAGCCTACATAAATACAAAAACCGTCACCTCCATGCCTTCTTCATCTCGGCAGGCTTTTTCAGTTTATTCATGACAATTTGCTTCGGTATAATGTTATTATTATTAGCAGTATTATTTATTATATCCATATTTATATTTGTTTTATTAAAAACAAGCTTAGGTTTGTCCACCTGTCAGGTTTTAGACCATATGGGGCACAGGATGTGTATTTAGATATAACTCAGGTTTTTGAGCACACTTCGTTATTATTGTTCATTTATTTGTTTGCTAAAATTAGAACTGAATTTAGAAATTGTTTTTAAAAAATCCTTGCGCTTAACAAACAAAATGAATCATTTATAGACTAATGGATGTCTGTGCGTACAAGGTTTCCCTATCCACGAGAGTGAAAGTGAAAGTAAAGAATGAGGAGGCTAATCTCTCATTCTTGTGCTGTAGCTGCTCTGTTTAACTGTTTTCTCTAGTGAAACGTTCAGTTTTTACACTTACAAAGTCCATCATGTAAATAGCAAATGCACTATGGCGCAACTTAAAGGGAATGGGAGATGAGACTCTGATTGGTTTATTCTCAAAACACACCTATAACTCGTTAAAAGAACAAGCTCAACCCTGTTAGACCATGCGCCACGGCGCAAAGCGGATTTTTCCGTCCTTAAAATAGCAATAGTGGATTCGGACACGTCCTTAATGCTTTTGCGCCTTGCACTTTACACTTTGCGCATGGATTGTTTAAATAGAACCCTAAGTTTACCAACTATGACGACTTTCACTACTGAGAAACCTGGAAATGTGAATAGGCTCCATTAGGGGTGCTGCATAATCCTGTGGTAGTCATCTAAATCTGTCTGATACTTCCCAGGTGGGATGATCCAGCTGTCCCATCACCAGCAGATGGGCTGGAATGGGCCATTTGATGGATGGGGTGGAGGACGGAAGAGGCACTCGGAGGGGATGGGAGGGCGCAGAGCTGGACGCTGGTAAGTGGATGAAAATTGATCAGGCTGTCTGTAAATTAAACGTCAGAGTGTATATAGCCTAATAAAATATCGGTTTCTTTTAGAATATTTAATATATTTTCTTTAAACAGTCTGATTAATTCAGTTTATTTCGTGAATAACGTGTGTGAACTGTGTTTTAGGGAGGACGGTGGTGGAGGGCTGTGGGGAGGAGACCTCATGCACCAGAAACGAAAGAGATGGAGGGCCACATCAGAAGAGGAAGCGCCCAAAAAGACCAGCTCTGCAGCCACACACAGCGTGCCTCTGTTCTCCTGCTTCTCCAGGGACACGTAAGGGCTCGTTCACACACAACACATCTTTGCTTCTGAATTGCAAGACACAACACTTTGGAATAGTGTGAAAAAAGAACAGGATAAAGCACGAGCAGGGTTTATACGGTCTGTGTGCACAGAGGATAACGAAAGTGTAAATCAGCCTTAATAGGGAGTGATATGATCATAATAGGGAGTGATATGATCAAGGCACTCTTAAAGCTGCATTTTAATCACCTAAGTTTGTTAATCAGACAGCCATGTACATGGCAACCATCTAGTAACGCATTACAGTAATCTAACCTAGAGGTCATAAAAGCATGAGTGTGTTTTTCCACATTAGACATTGATTTCATATGTTGTAGTTTGTCAAAAGTACTGGACCTGTTCTGTTAACCTCATTAATTACTAAATGTATCAAAACTACATAGAAATGTGTTCACAAAATAGAAACCAACATAAAATTAACAAAACCATTAATGCAACCAACTAAAAATACACTAAAATTTACAAGTCTCGATATAAAATCAAATTTGAAAATGCAAAACTGTACTAACCTTGATACTGTCCTGCTTAGACAGTCATGTTTGAGTTCATTCAGGTCTATTCTCCCTATTAATAAGCCTTAATAGGGAGCAACTATTGATGCTGCCAGAACCAGAGTAATGTGATCATATTTCTTAGTTCTAGAAAACACTTTAGAATAAATATGTAGATTAAAATCATCAGCTGCATTTTAAACCAGCTAAGTTTGTTAATTAGGCCTACAGAGCAACTATCTAGTAATGCAGGGGTGCTCAATCCTGTTCTTGGAGATCTACCTTTCTGTACAGTTTAGCTCCTACCCTGATCAAACCCACCTGAACCAATTAATTAGGACCTGAAATCCACTTGATAATTACAGACCGGTGTGTTTGATAAGGGTTGCACCAGAAATCTGCAGGAAGGTAGGTCTCCAGGAACAGGATTGGCCACCCCTGTAGTAATGCATTACAGTAATCTAACTGAGAGGTCATACAAGCATGCATTAGTCTTACGCATTGGACATTCATAGCATATGTTGTAGTTTGCCAACAAAATGTTCATTAACATTTGCTCTGCTCCGAGTCGCTCACTGTTGTTGCAAATAACAGTACAACAGCGAGTGTGTCAAGTATAAAAGCCTTCACAACTTCAGCAGAGGTTCAAGAAAAGTATAAATCAGCCTTATTAGAGAGCCACTATAAGTACCGGAGTACTATAATCATAGTTCTTAGTTGTAGAAAGCACTCTAGCAGCTGCATTTTGAACCAGCTTGGTTTGCTAATTAGGCCTACAGGGCAACCATCTAGTAATGCATTACAGTAATCTAACCTAGAGGTCATAAAATCATGAAGTCTTTCCGTATAGGACATTGATAGCATATGTCTTAGCTTGTCAGCAATTTTTAGATGGAAAAAAAATGTTTGCTAACATTTGCTCTTGGTTTTTCCAGCCAGGCCTGTGATTACCTGGAGCTTCAGCGCCGGTATCCACACCTGCACATCCCATCCAGCCTCTTCCACCTCCAGCTGTCCTGGACGGAAAGTTTCCCTCTGGACCAGCCACTACCTCTAAGAGGACCCTGTCTCTTCCACATAGGACCAAACCAGCCGGAGACTGAAGCGGACGTTTGCGAGTCCACCGATGATGCTTTTGCTGTTAGGGTACGAGTACAGATCATGTGGTCGCGTCAGGCTCACGTTCTCCTGCATTGGTTCACGAATAGCTCTTGTTCTCCACGCAGGTCCTGTTGTTTTCTATGCCGTGTCTTGAGGACGTGTATTCACAGTGTTGTAACCTCTCGAATGACGGTCAGACGCAGAAGGAGGCCGTTCATCCCTCCACACTTCTCAAAGTAAAAACATCTACTTAAGCCATGCAATTTATGAACAGACCTGACTGTTTTGCTTTTGTTTTCTATGCTAAACAGCATCAATGTTTTTACAGTTTTGCATTTTTAAATTAGATTTTATATTGAGACCAGTAAATTTCAGTTTGTTTTTAGTTGGCTTTATTATCGGTTGGCTTCATTGTTATCGATTTTTATAAATGTAAAAGATGTTTTATGATGAAGCATGATGAGTTTAATGTGTGATTGTGTGCTCTTCTTCCCTAATAGTTTCTGATAGTGGACAGTGGAGGTGAACAGCGTCTTCCAGGAGGCCACTGGTCCCCGGAAGCAGACGGAGCCAATCCAGCGAAGGACAGTTTGACGCTGGTCAACACGGCGGTCCGATGCTTGAAGGAGCAAGCTGGACTGGACCTCTCAGCCTGCACACAGTGGTCCGTATATTTCATTTATCATTTTAATTTAATAGTCAAGTTATGTTGTTTAACTATTGTCTACTACTCTGGAACTGTTTACACCTGATCACTTTATGCGTTTTATTTCTGATTGCATTACTATCTGGCTTGTGAAAATGCTTCCATTTATAGTTAAAGTCAATTTCCAAATATTTCCCAAATGAAAATGACATTTTTCACAGTATTTCCTATAATATGTTGTCTTCTGGAGAAAATCAAAGATAACAAAACAAACATCTCAAATTGTCACCTGTGGCCTTCTGTTGCTTATGGTTTTGCGCTTGTATATCTGACAGCCATATAGGCCACCACATGTGCGCTCTTGCATTTTGGGAGGCGTCAAATTTTCATATTTGATTTCAGCAACCATTCAAGCATTTAGATCAGTCCAGTTTCATCTGGAATGTGTCCCAAAACACCTGGTCTGAGCAGTCGGTTTTATGTCTGTCTTGAATGCATTTCGAGCACATTTACACTCATCACACAGCTATCCAGTCAGAAAAAAACACATGATGTGACCAGGTGTAAGCAGCCCTTGTAGCCATTTTCATACAGTACTGTCTGTGCTCAGTTACAGTTTTATTTTTAGTTTATTTCTTGAGTAAATAAAATAATGTTCCTGCTTTTTATTTATTATAATTTTCCAAATTTGATCAAAACCTTTATTCACCCTCCTGTGATTTTATTTTATTTATTTATTTATTTTATTTATTTATTTATTTTTCAAATATTTCCCAAATGATGTTAAACAGATTCAGGAATTTTTCACAGTATTTCCTATAATATTTTTTCTTGTGGAGAAAGTCTTATTTGTTTTATTTCGGCTAGAATAAAAGCAGTTTTGAATTTTTTTAAAGCCATGTTAAGGTCAATATTATTACCCCTTTAAGCTATATTTGTTTTCAATTGCCTATAGAACGAACCACTGCTATACAATGACTTGTCTAATTACCCTAACTTGCTTAATAACCTAGTTAAGCCTTTAAATGTCACTTTAAGCAGAAAGTCAATTTTTGCCAGGAACCAGCATTCTTCAAACTATCTTCTTTGTGTTCAATAGAAGAAACAAGCTCATAAAGATTAAAAGCCACATGAGGGAGAATTCAGTGATGAAGTTATTTTCAATTTGTGGATGAACTATCCCTTTAAATGTCTCTAAAAGTCTTTCTCACCCTCTGCAGGTATAAGATGGCGGAGCTGAGATATCTTTCAGGAGATAAAGTGGAGACCGTCGTGGTCTTAATGCCAGATGTGTGGAATCTAGTGCCATCAGAAGAAGAGTGGGCGAGCTTACAGCTGGTACTGTAATATTATTATAAATAATTATTCATTCAGTCATTTACTTATCGGCTTAGTCCCTTTATTAATCTGGGGTCGCCACAGCGGAATGAACCACCAACTTATCCAGCTGCAACCCATCACTGGGAAACATCCATACACACCCATTCACACACATACACTACGGACAATTTAGCCTACCCAATTCACCTGTACCGCATGTCTTTGGACTGTGGGGGAAACCGGAGCACCTGGAGGAAACCCACGCCAACACGGGGAGAACATGCAAACTCCACACAGAAACGCCAACTGACCCAGCCGAGGCTCAAACCAGCGACCTTCTTGCTGCAAGGCGAATCGTGCTACCTACTCTGCCACCGTGTAGACCTCTTATAAATAATATGGCCTTATAAATATTGCAGAATATGCTTCGATTCGCATCAGAGAGGGCTTCTAGTAGGGCTAATGTCATGATAAAGGATAATTACCAGTTTGTAAACATTCGGGATGCGCAGGCATCATGGTTGCAGAAAACCCGGAAGAAATAGCATTTTATGGCTAGAAAAGAGTCTAATAATTTGTAGGAAAGATGAATATGATTTTATATTAGACTTATATTATATTATATTATATTATATTATATTATATTATATTATATTATATTTATTATATTTATTATATTATATTATATTAATTATATTATATTATATTATATTATATTATATTATACTATATTATATTATATTATATTATATTAATTATATTATATTATACTATATTATATTATATTATATTATTATATTATATTATATTATATTATATTATATTATATTATATTATATTATATTATATTATTATATTATATTATTATATTATATTATATTATATTATATTATATTAATAATTAATAATATATTATATTATTTTAGATAGTCTTTTTATTTCATCCATACAATATACAACAATGAATAAGCAATATTCCCAAGCACTATACCAGCTTAGTTGGCGTAAGACTTTTGCACAATATATAATCAATCAGTCTCTTTATTAAAAGCAAACAGAAAATACGGGAAATATGTACAAAACAACAACAACGGCACAATATTTCCTCTTTTAGCAAAAGGCTATGTTTAATGTGGCTTCACCTTGCACCAAACACAGATTGACATGTAATTGTCCGGACATTATCTGAAATAATGTGCTGCGTAATGATATCAGGCTTCTTTTAACACTTTCCAGAGTTCTTCTTTAGGTTTAGAGTGTCATATCTGTCTTCTTATACCCAGGTGATCTCATACAACCTCTGTAATAATCATGTCTGGACCCTGTGCAGGCCATTTCATGACTGTTTGTGTTTCATTAGGTTTATTTAGGTTCTCTAAAGACTATATAAATTATAGGAAATGCCATGAAAATTTCCTGTTGGGAAATATTTGAAAAAGAATACTATCTTCACAGGCAGAGCTAATCATTTTGACCTCAACTGCATAGTGTTATTATGCACAACCCGATCACTAGCTAATCTGTCTTCCTTCTTGTCCTCCAGGAAGATGACCTGTCACTCCCAGAATCTCCGTCTGTGGTTTTTCACCCATCAGCCGGACTAAATCTGTCTGCGGTTTCTCTGTCGTCGCTGCTGGAGCCGCAGACCCTTCAGACCAGAGACAGCTGTGAGGTGTGTATAAATAAGCTAAAATTATAGCATAAATGATTACACCCCTCATTGATCCACATCACACCACATGACAACCTCAAAGCATCCTCAATTCTGTGCCTCAGACAGCTGAGTGGGCTTCACAAACCACCTGTAGAAAACATACTCTTTCATCTCCCTGATACTTTAACCCACACTTGCACTAGTTTTGCACATTTGCACCAGACACAGGCTACGTCCGAAACCTACTCAGTAGGTACTGCATTTAAATTTAAACGTACTACTCGGCCGTTAGAAAAGTACGTTCTATATAGACCTTTTTCTTAGAACGCAAAATTACCCATTATGCTTTGCGTGTATGCGCAAGGAGAATGCGAAGAACTTCCGGTCGGCAGCTGATGCGTGTAAACAGTCACATTTGGACAGCTTTGAAACGATAGTTTTAATCTATTTTACCTGCTTTTATCCGCTTTGAACTAATACTGTTGTTCATCAGCGCCATCTCCTGGACTGATCATTTAAAGCAATGCGCTCTAATAGGAGGGAAAACAGCTGCTGTGAGGCGTTTTCCTCTCGCTGTCAGACGGCATCTTCTGCAGTTTAAATGAAGCCTCGTCATCGCTAAAGTCCACAGTTTCTCTTTATTTCAAATATATAACCAGCCCAAACAAATGTAATTCACCAAAATGTTTGACACACACACGTAGCCTGTACTGTGCCACTGACACACTGATTTAATAACTGTGACAAAGTGAAAATATAGGCTAGTGTCATTTCCAAATGACAGAAAAACACAAACCGTGGTAAAAAACAACACACGAAATAAAACACAAACGGCTCGCGATTAGAATGAACAGCAAATCAGCCAGCAGAGGATCAATAACAGACTTTTATTGCTCATTTTTGTAAATTGCCTGTTAAGTTTCATGCCAGTACTCTGGTTTGCTCTCTCTCTCTCTCTCTCTCTCTCTCTCTCTCTCTCTCTCTCTTTCTCTCTCTCTCTCTCTCTCTCTCTCTCTCTGTGTGTGTGTGTGTGTGTGTGTGTGTGTGTGTGTGTGTGTGTGTGTGTCTGTGTCTGTGTGTGTGTGTGTGTGTGTGTGTGTGTGTGTGTGTGTGTGTGTGTTAAAGAGCCGCCGAGCTAACAGCTGACAGGCCGGGATCGCACACACACACTGTATTTCTGACGGCAGACACGTGAACTAGCAGAACATTTTTCTCGTATTTCTGACACTCTTGAACCACACGTGACAGATTATAACGGCTTTAACAGACACATTTCTAAGTTGTGTGTCACAAAAACACTCTGTTATCCATTAAAAACGTTATTGAAACCCATTTTCGGAGCGCAAATGACCAGTTGTACACGCTGTAAACGGAAGTTTTTAGCATTCTACCGGAAGACGCTGGTCGCTATGGCGCCCTCCATGCAGCAGCCATGAAAAAGGTCTATAGTATAAATGTGAAAATCTGCGATTTTGTCATGGTGAAGTGACCTACCTGCGTCAATTGCGACGCTTCACTCCCATTCATGAATTCTCTCGTGGCAGGGCATCATGGGATAGCGCAGCGTGTATGGGATGCACACTCCAGAATCTCACCGGAAGTAGTAAGTCATCCGGGTACTTCTCGCATACTAATTTTCGAATTCTATGAATTCGGACATACTACTCGGTTCGCATACTGATTTTAGCGTACTATATAGTATGGAAGTATGCGGTTTCGGACGCAGCCACAATCTTACAATCACTCCATATCTCCAAAAAAAAAAAAAAAATGTGCATTTATGAAGTGAGCTTCACAGAAGTGAGTGGGCTTGACAAACCACCTGTAGAAACGCTCTTCATTCTATATATCTAAAAAATATCATTACTTTAGCATTACTTTATCAATTCAAGTAAATATCATTACTCTATCAACTCTTTGAGCACTAACAGTTCCTTTGTATAATTCACACTTCTTGTGTGTGTTGCCTCTTCTTGTTGAATCGCTGAATGCCTCCTCAATTGTAAGTCGTTTTGGGCGAAAGCGTCTGATAAATGACTAAAAACAGCCCCTTTCACACATACAGAGGTTTCCGGAAAATTGTGGGTGTACTCATTTATGCTGAGCTCTGTATTTTAGGATCATCTTCTGACCTCTGTCATGTGCTGCCGTCAGGTGAGCTTGATTGCGGAGATGTTCAGCGAGATGCTCCAGAGGGATTTTGGGCTTCAGCTGTATCGGTGTCTCTGCAGTCTGCCTCAAAACATCAGCGACCCACAGACTGAAGCCAAACAGGACAACAACACCGCCAAGGTACACTAGTTCAGTATGTTTTTATTACATGTATAGTTCAAGCCAGAATTATTCAACCTCCTTTAAATCCGTTTTCTTTTTTTTTTTTTCAAATATTTCACAAATGATGTTTAACAGAGCAAGGGATTTTTCACAGTATTTCCTATAATATTTTATATTCTTATTTGTTTTATTTCGGCTGGAATAAAAGCAGTTTTTTATTTTTTAAAACTATTTTAAGGTCAACATTATTAGGCTTCTAAGTCAGGAAAGTGGGTGAGTCCAGTTCTGTTTAGGTGGGAGTGTCGGGGGAGGGAAAGAGGGAAGGTTTTGCATAAAAATGAGAGTTTCCGTTCGGGCACACACTGATTTTCACAGACAAAACAAACACAGAGACAGGGGAGATAGACAGTGACGGTGTTTACATGGACATCAGTCATCCAATTATTTGCCAAATTATAAATTTGTGGACTTTAACTGCAGTTTGGCTCTTTCCCTTTCATTCAGAAATATTTCCTGCATGCCCCCCGTGACAAACGAGATATTGCATGCGAGGAACTGCTGGAGAGTGTAGTTTTAATGGAATGTTTGAGAGACAAAAACTCAGCATTTCTCGAGAACTTAGATGCAATTTATAGGTAGTGTCAGAAAGTCAAGTGTGTATAGACTATCCTGTCACAAAATGCGCCAAAAATTCTAGGAACCACGTCTTTTTTTTTTTTTTAAATAGGACGAGCAGCAAATCCGTATTACACCATTTCCAGATGTGAAAAGCTCTCGGGTAAAAAATGTTCCTTACAAACATATTTCTGTCGTGTGCACTGTAATCCACATGTGAGTCCAGCTGCGCTCTTAGGGTGCTTTCACACCTGTGAATCGATTCAGTTGTTCTGAAACAGAGATTACAATTGTTACATTGTTGCTCTTTGCTCTGGAGCGGTTCGCTTTCACACTGCAAAGTTTTTAATCGGACCAAAAGAGCTAAAACAAGTCACGTGCGAGTAAACTCTCCTCACATTGGTCAGAGTGTCAGGGTTTATTTTGCAGCGTCCCGCTCAGCTGTCAGGGGAGGTGGTGGTTTGGTGATTGACAGGGTGTGCGCGACGTGTCTGAGGAGAGATGCGGTGGGGAGGGGTGAGAAGGGTGCGCGACGATGCCTATTTGAGGACTGGGAGAGAGACGCGAGATTACCGGGAGATCATCACTCGTTTGCGGGCATCCGGAGACTCGCGAAACTTCCCGCCCTACTCATAATTCTCTCTTCATATAGCCGTAAGCCTATTACATATCCATAAAACACTGTGACATAACCGCGCTCGGATCGGATCGCTTTCTCACTCCAATCGAACCGCTCCAGGGTTCGTTTCAATCGAGCCGAGACCACCTCATTCAAGCGATCTCGGAGCGATTACTTTGGCGCGGAACAGAGCGCGATTGCCCTGTTCACATATGCCAATCGAACCGCGCTAACTGGGAAAACGAGACACGTTCCGAAACAAAAGTGTAGGTGTGAAAGCACCCTTAATGAAACAAAACCTTTGTTGCAGAACATTTATAAACAAAACACTGACGACCCGTGTCTCCAAACAATTCTTGTTCTTTCGCTTGTTTTGGCAACACAACGTGGCATCTCTCCGCCGCCGTTTGAAACTATCATGCATATTAATAAAGCTGCACCGCATACACAATAGAGCATGCTGATTGGTTTGAAGCAAGTCTTTCTCATGAATTAATGCTCAAACGCGGCACATTGTACTCACCGGTACAGACAGCCAGTCTACACCATAGACTGTAAAATAATGGACGTAGTATCCGTGACGTCACCCATAGGTTTCTGAAGAGCGCAAAAGAAGCCACAAGTAGGCACGGCCAACCGTCGCCATTTTGGTCACGCGTCATCACACCCACGGCGGGATACCAAACAAGGGCAAAGAGGCGGAGAGTGAGCGGAGCTACAGACACCTGCTGGCATTTAGCTTGGACCTGCCTCAGACACACTTTACTTTGGGAGAAATGCTTAATACTTTATCACCTGCGACTCGTTTGTGTTCTGACCACTTGTGCTTGGTTGTATACTATATCAATAAAATGTTTAGACTTTTAAAAACACTGCTGTAATACATTGAGCCACTAAACATTGACGTTTTTCAACAGGAGGAAAACATGAATTACTTACAAACACTTCAGATATAGTCTGTGTTAGTTACTGTAAGACTATTGATAAAATCCAGCATAACACTGTATGACAACGCTTCAGATGACTGTTCTAGAGCCTACAGCTAATCAATCTGACAGATTCTGCAGTGCATTACAGCTCTAAATATAAATATAAACGATAAATGATCTTAAATAAAACAAATACATGTATAGAGATGGTATATAAGTATATAACTTTGGGAAACGGAGGCCACGTGAATGGTTTGTGAGCACAATTAAGTGCCCTCAGCATGCCATGCCATCTAATAATTGTGGGAAACAAGTCCAAAAGGCAGTTGACTGTGCAAAGCCACATAAAACAACACAGAAATACGATAAATATGTCGAGTTCAGTGGCTAATCTGCAGAGGTGATGTGACGGCGACCAGCGAGACCTAACTGTCAATCAAGTGACGACGCCCTTAATTATGCAAACTTATATAGCTTAATATAAAGGAAACGGATGAGTTATAAAAAAATTCACCCCCCTCACAGTTGTCATGAAGGGTAATATTAGCTGTATTAACCAAAATCATTTTTTGTACCAGGCTGTAAACACCTTTTTTTCTGCTGTAAAGTTGGCCATTCTAACAGTGCGCTCAATTGAAATTTGCTCTGTTTTGGAGCCAGGAGCGGCCAGGACTAGCGGAATTTCGGATGAATTGCAGTTTTAGTTACTTCCGTATTGGCTTCCTGAGGGAGAGCGGGAGGTTGCCGCTTGGTCTACACACTGGAATACACACAAGGATCTAATCTCCGTGACGCAGCTTCAAAAATTTGTTTCAAACTGGAAGAGCAAATTAGCTCGAAATAACGCAAAAACAACCAATTTTCACTTTTTTATGAAATATATGTGTCCTAATAGTGTTTTTTTAGCAGCATGGGACACGTTTATGACTGTAAACAGCTCAAATAATGTGTTTTGGTGTTTCGTGACCCTTTAAGGTCAACATTATTAGCCTTCTTAACCAATTATTTTTTTTTTTTCGATTTGGCTACAGAACAAACCATCGTCATACAATTACTTGCCTAACTAAGCCTAATTACAGCTTTTAATTTTAATTTATGCAGTTGCAATGTCTTGATTATATTAAGGTTAGTGCAATGTTAGTGCAAAGTTAGCCATAAATTGAATGGTGCGAATAATTTTCTCTTGAGAAAAAACAAAACAAAAAGCGCTCTGGGGTAAGTTCAAATGTATGGTCGGTGCTCTTTGGGTAAGGGATTCATCAAATCTGCAACAAGAATCAGTCCAAGGCACTCAAGTAAAGTGAAAAAATTAAAAAGCCTTTATTCACATGGCTAGATCTCTAAAAACCCTTTCTCTTGCTTTTCTCTTTTTCGGTTTCGTCCAAGAATTTTAATTTCGGTGCATCCCTAATGTAAACGTGGTCAGTCATTCAATAACGAGCAAACATCTACAAAACATCATTCAAAAGAGCATTAAAACCCAGTGCTTATTGAGTTGTGTTAACATCTGTTTCACTCTGAAGGAGGAGGAGGAGGAGATTAAAAAGTCCGACAAAAAGACCACAAAGAAGAAAGATTCGAGTGATGCAAGGAAAACAGTCAAAGAAGAGAAAGACGCAGAGGACGCCATGCTGACAGACGAGACTGAAGCAGTGGGAAAGCAGCCATCGAGAGACGGTAAAACTGTGAGCGCAGGAGTGGAAGAGCAGAGCAGCAACGCAGCCGACAATCAGACCTCCAAACACTGTGTAAGAAATCATACTTCTGTCTGCATCTCAGGCCCTGTTCACATTAAATATCACCAACAGTCAAGAATGCATGATTATATGGATACATGATTGCGGTCATGCCTATGCAATCAAAAAATGTGATTATAGTGGAAGTTAATAGGGCAAAAACAGCCCCCAACATACCGAAAGGGTAGTCAATTTTCAGATTAAGGAAAATGCATCTTAGTATCAATGTGAGCAGGGCCTTTCTCCTCTAACCCTCTTTGTCTGTGTTAAAGGAGCGTCCTCCGGGCTGGACGGACGAACTGCCCCGTAAAGTGCTTCTGTCCTGCGTGTTCTTCGACCGGCAGCTGACAGGAAGTCTTCGGGAAGCAGATCTGGTCAACATCCTGCTGTCGCTCGGCCTGTTTCTCAGTCCTGCTCAGGTTTCAATATCCTCTCTGACGTTTTATTTGGATTCAATTTAACGTGGAAAAACTTTTATGGGTATATGATTTTAGTTAAAACAGTAGATCACATCAAAAATACATTTACATTTAACAGTAAAATATTAAAAATCTATGAAAAAGTATATGATTTCATGGCAACATAGTGGCGCAGTAGGTAGTGCTGTCGCCTCACAGCAAGAAGGTCGCTAGTTCGAACCTCGGCTCAGTTGGCGTTTCTGTGTGGAGTTTGCATGTTCTCCCTGCCTTCGCGTCGGTTTCCTCCGGGTGCTCCGGTTTCCCCCACAGTCCAAAGACATGCGGTACGGGTGAATTGAGTAGGCTAAATTGTCCGTAGTGTATGAGTGTGTGTGAATGAGTGCGTGTGGATGTTTCCCAGAGATGGGTTGCGGCTGGAAGGGCATCCGCTGAGTAAAAATGTGCTGGATAAGTTGGCGGTTCATTCCACTGTGGCGACCACGGATTAATAAAGGGACTAAGCCGACAAGGGCAACCGCAGCATAAAAATGTGCCGGATAAGTTGGCGGTTCATTCCACTGTGGCGACCACGGATTAATAAAGGGACTAAGCCAACAAGAAAATGAATGAATGAATAATTTGCCCTCATAATCTTTTATCAAATACCTTACAGGGCTCGAAATTGCGACCATGTTGGTCGCATATGCGCCCGAAATTTTATCTATGCGACCTTAAAATATATTTGGGAGCATTTCTGCGAGTGCTTAAAATTGTGATGTGCGACCAGTTTTTACTGCAAAATGTTCACCACATGCGCGGATTCGGGAGACATTCACGCAGAATGCATCTCTGCACTTGCAACGGAATGGTTTAAAACTGTTGTCATGTCAACTTGCTGCAGTGAACAAATCCAAGTCCGTAATGCTTGCCCCGCCTTCACGCTCTTCTTATTGGCCCACTGCTCTAGCACTGAACGCGAATGATTGGATAAAAATCTATTTTCTTGTGATAACGGGATTTCGTCGAGACATATTTTCCTCACGCTTGCATTTATATATATATATAATTTTTTTTGCTTGTTAGATTGTTTAGTGTTGATTTCAAATACAATAAATATGTTTGTATAAAACTTGTAGTAACGGTGCTCTTAATTGGTGGGTGCGACTAAATTTTGGCTGATGCGCCTAAATTTTTAAAGTTAGGAGCACCGGTGCTACCAAGCAAAAAGGTTAATTTCGAGCCCTGCCTTAACTTGATCTCCCTCTCAAAATCACTTTTCTTCACTTCTGATCACATGGTATCCCTTAAGGGTAGGACTATCAGTCCGATAGGGCGGGGCTATCAAGGTGTGTCGCGTTTCTGCCCTGCTTTCGGCCATTCATAAATCTTACTTCCTTTTGTTAGCAGCACCCATCTTCCACTGATCAGCTCCAAAATGATAAAAATCACACACCGCCACTCTTTTCTAATTTCAGGACTGTTTCAATTGGATGTCACATTTCATGTCAAGTTTAAGTAAAAATCTACATTTTTTTAGAGGAACATCATTAATATATTAAGGCTTTGTGGATCTCAAATAGACACATCTTTATTTTAATTCATGCTTAGAAATGAAAGCTAGAAAACATGACAAACATGCTGAATTTCCCATCTCTCCTCAGGCGCAGGATTTGGTCAAAAGGGCTGCAGTCGGTGGGCTGTGCCTCTACAGAAATCTGTGCAGCCGTTGGTCAGACAGCGCTCCTTCAGACGCCAGCGCCATAGCTGAAGGTCAGTGCTAATGAATGCAGTCTCATAATGCAGATGAACCATCGATTAAAAATCATAGCAATCACAACTTAAGGGTGAAGTAATAGGGTGAGACACAAAATATACACGTGGAACTTAACGTGTTAAAATTGTCAGATTATTTGCATGCGTTAAAGCGTTAACACTGACAGCCCTCATGTAAACACACTTGAGTCTTCCTCACAGGAAATAAAGCGATGTTGCCCACTCAGCCGTGTAAAGACAGAGGGTCGGTCCGTCGCACCAGTAACACCGATGTGGTGAATTACAAAGGGAAAGTCGTCAACCTGCCAAACCTGCTGCAGTGTCTGGAAAGCAGCAAAGTGGCGCAGCGGGACCTGGAGAAGAGTGTGGCCGCACTGCAGTCCAGACTGGGTGAGACTACAGTACATTACAGGCCAAAAATAACTACTTGCTCAAAACACACTTGCGTTGAGAGAGAGAGAAGAGTGTTTCTACAGGTGGTTTGTCAATCCCACTCACCTGTGTAAAGCACACTACATAAATGAACAATGTTTTGGTTTTTTTTATTGAGATATGGAATGATTGTAAGAAAGTGTCTGGTGCAGATGTGCAAAACTGGTGCAAATGTCAGTTAAAATTCAATTCAGTTCAATTCAGCTTTATTTGTATAGCGCTTTTACAATGTCGATTGTGTCAAAGCAGCTTCACATACATAGTCATAGTAACTGGATCAGGGTAGTTCAGTTTTTAGTGTTTAAGTTCAGTTCAGTTTAGCTCAGTTCAGTGTGGTTTAAATCATTACTGAGAGTCCAAACACTGAAGAGCAAATTCATCGATGCGTAGCTCTACCAATCCTGAACCATGCGAGCCAGTGGCGACAGCGGATTGGGAAAAAAAACTTCACCGATAGGCAAGTGAAGAAAAAAAACCTTGAGAGAACCAGACTCAGTTCGGCACGACCAGTTTCAAGAGTTCACACTTAGATACTGTTTGACAACTTGTTAGCAAGTTAGCAAGTTTGACATGCTGTCCCGGAAGAGAACCCTAAGCTCGGAGATAGTTGAGCCCAGGGCTCCCACCAGGTCCATAGACCATGTGAGGGGAGTACGAGGTCAGGTGCTCTCGAGAGCTCCCCTCGGCAAAAGAGGAAAGGAGGAGAAGGGGTGGATGGGAGGTTTCTTCGGAAAAACGAAGATAAGGGAGTAGTTCTTAAGCCTGATTTATACTTCTGCGTCAGGTGACCGGCGTAACCCACGGCGCAGGCAACGCACGTGGCTGTGCATTTATACTTCTGCGCGCTGTCTCTGTGGGTCTGCATTAACACTTCCGAAACGCTAGTTGGCAGTGAGGTGTTAATGTTCCTCTGTGTCGAGTTTCTTCGCTATTTTTTTGCTTTTCCTGAACACTTCCGGGATGTACAAGTGGCTCAAACTCGCTCATTTTGAGGCAGGAACCGGCGGACGTGCAACAACTTTAACTATGAGGTAAACACAAAACAAAACTTTCCATCAGGAGCTCCTTCACGGGACTCCACACTTGTAAACAATCGCTCGCGCAGCGTCGCACCATTCGCGCGGCTCTCAGTACCGCCCAGACTCGTCAGCGCTACCAAGCCGACCAATCACAGAGCTTACGCTACGCGTCGTTGCGACTAGTAGTTACATTTTTTGTGAGGTGCACGTCAGTGACGGCGATGGCCACGGCGAAGGGCTATGCGTCAGCGCCGTAGCATACGCCGGTGTTTGACGCAGAAGTATAAATCAGCCTTTAGCTAGGTTACTTATCGTGAGTTTGGATCAATCCGATTGGCTAGCCAATGAGTGTAGATGAGTGGCCAGCTGCAGTCAATCATATCACGTGCTCCTCTCGAAATTAGTTTGTGAAACTTCATTTAGTTTCTCCGCTGGCCAAAAGTCTTGGCAGAGCTGCAGTCTCAGCGGTGGCCTCAGCGAAGACTCATCTGTCCCTGGAGTGTGACAGAGAGATAAAATGAGTGAAAGATGAGGAAGTTTTCTACAAGCGGTTTTTCAAGCCTACTCACTTGTGTAAGGCACAGGTAAATGTGTTTGTAGTTCATGCACATCTTTTCATATCAAATAAAAGGTTAGCCTACTCTGTTGTGCATACAGGCAGTTTATAGTACTGAACTGTAAAAAAAAAACATTGAATCGACTTAAAATTGTAAGGCAACTTGCTGCACAGCTTTTTTTGAGTCGACTCCACTTAAATAGAGTCATTTACAGTACTTGGGTTAAAATTCGAGTTAACTTCAAAATTTGTACACTACAGTTTTGAGTCAACTTTTTATATTTAAAAATTCTCCAGAAGGATAGCGCTCCTTCTCATACTTCAGCCTCCACATCAAGTTCCTGAAAGCAAAGAAGGCCAAGGTGCTCCAGGATTGGCCAGCCCAGTCACCAGACATAAACATTATTGAGCATGTCTGGGGGAAGATGGAGGAGGAGGCATTGAAGATGAGTCCAAAGCTCGTGATGGAGTCAGACACAATATTCATTCTTCAATATTCAAAAGCCACCGAACGCTCATTGCGTTTCATCTTCTGAGGTGCAAGTAATTTATTAAACAAGAAAAAAGGCCCACAGTGGCTTCTACCATGGCAAACTCCATTTCTCTTGTTGGTATTTGGCACCAGTTTATCAGGAAGTGACGATTTTGTTCTCTTCGACTCATTCGCAAATCTTTAATGAGATATTCCAGTTTTGTGCATGAATCCAATTCGCATCTTTGGTTGGAAACATGGCTTATTTCATCATTCATCATTATCTGCATGCATTTGAATGGGTGTGTGTTACTGTGATTCAGATGCAGCAGAAGCACTACAGGCCTCCAGTGAACAGGAGCTGGCCCAGCAGAAAGAGCTGAAGAGGAAACTGGAGAAAGCCGAGATGATCAATAAAACATACGAGAAGAGTTTGAAAGAAAACGCCGGACAGATGACCGCTGTCATCGAGAAAATGCAGAGGATGGTCGAACAGGTGAGCGGGATGCTAATAGTCTAATCTGACTCAATGATCTATGCTAAGCTAAGCTAAAAGGGCTCCCACCAGACCTGGAGATCAGGCGAATATATTAAAAAAAGGTAAAACTCAACCATTTAATACTTTAGGAGTTGTACAATGACTCTATTTTCAAACAAAGTAAGAAAAATGGGAAAATATAATCTTGGATGAACATCTTTATTTCTGAGAAATGCTAATGGTCTAATCCGATTCAATGATCTATGCTAAGCTAAGCTAAAAGTGCTCTAGTCAGGCCTGGAGATTGGCTGAATGCATTGAAAAATGCTAAAACGTAACTATTTAACTCTTGAGAGTTGTAGATTTAGCCTATTTAAAAAATAGTTTAGGATTTCTTCATGCCAAAAACAAGACAAAAAAGATGTTATATGTCCTAACTTCTTCACATGACATGACTGTATGCACTTTTAGATCTCTTTTTTGAGAGGTTTGTGTTGATGTACTGTGTTTTTGCTGTTTAGACAACGACCATCACAAATGCTAATGCAGGAAAGGAAGAGAAGCTGTGATGTCCTGGAAGCTGATTGGACGGTGCTGGACTGAGCAGAGTAGAAAGAAACCTGCAAAATAAAAGATTCTTTAGCTTTGTCTATTAAAATAAACAGGTAATTTATTATTATTGTTATAATTTTGGGGTGTAAAACAGTACGTGCTTTTAAGCACATAGATAATGGGAAGAATTGTGTCGGTGGGCCTTTGTAAAGGTTTTTATCCATTAAAATGAACGTTGACTCACTTTAGAATGTAAAACCTTTATTCAATTTTATTTTGTTATGATTTCTGGCAGCTATGAAAGTGTAATCCTTGTATGAAACTGTCAACTCATAAACGGATATGACTGTTTGTAGTGCTGTACAATGGTTTTATTGTATGTTCTTGTATTTATTGTATTTTTTAAAATTGGTTTTATTGTTTTCTTTTCTTTTTACATGTGAGTTTACAATGGTGGGCTAATGTCAGATCTCTTTTAAAATCATTTTGATGAATTGGATTTTATTGATTTGTATTTATCTTTTTTTTTTTTTTGTTACTGAGCATTGAAGCATTACTGTTATAAAGCATTCACATACATAACTAGATTTCTGATGGTTAAGATCTAGTGAAAGGTCACTTATTGGAAATACTGCCAGAATTTTCCCTTGCAATTAAATAATTATGAGTCCACCCAAACACTTCAGACTATTTTGACAATGAATTATTATTTAAAATAAAGTGTTTAAGAAATTAAGGTTTACAATCAGTGAATATAATTGTATTAGATACAATTAGCAAAACTATTTTGTCTTTTTCTCAGGGACCATTTATACTTTCTAATAGTCTGAACAAAAGCATGTTTATTTGTCTTCCAGGATCTGAACTAAAGTAAGTTGGAGGAAAACCCCATGTAGTACCTTTCATTTCTTTTGATTTTGTCTAATTTTAAAACCACAATAAAAATCACGTTTCGTTTTGTTACTAAGACGTCCAATAAAATGTAAATAATCGATTTTGAAACGTATCTATTTTGTAATAAATGTTTTTTGACCCGCAGCGACAGATGTCGCTGTTTTTCCCAGCTTTAAAGCGTAGCTCATTAATATTAACAAACTTTTGATTACGTTTCATAGGAAACGTAAGCTTATTAATATTCAACAGCCGGATATTCGCGCTGTGATTCGCTTACGGCACGTTACGTAATTAATATTCATGATAAACAGTGTTCGCCTCAGCGTTTGAAACGCTGTTTATTTTAACAAAGATAGCGTTATTCGACATATATAAAGCTATATCGTGTGTACATGCAGTTATAGCATATAATACTATAATATGAGGGCAAAATGAGACGTCTGACAAACCAGGAAATGCGATTGATTTGGAGGACAACTGCGTAGTTTCACTTTCATTTACGTTACCAATCGGATATCTTGCAGGTTCGTTCGAAACTTTTTTTCGCCTATTGTAATTAATGTCGTATAATTCGTGAGCATATTTGTCGCTTTGTGACGTCTAAACATCGCATACTATCTCATGTGTGTCAAACAAGTGACAAGAGCACATAATCCTAATCAAACGCTCTGAAAGCTGACGTTAAACTCATATTTTCCGCCATGCTATTCTTAGCAAAGTATTTTCATTTTACATTAGTAGCTTTGTTCTGTGCTCTTTTTGCTGGCAACCATGCCATGACCGTCAACAAGAACAAAACCGTGCTGCCTTTCCCCTGGGATAAGATGAGGTTGCCAGAAATTGTCAAACCCCAGCATTATGACCTCCTCATTCACCCCAACTTGACCTCTCTGACGTTTACTGGAGAGGTTCAGATCCAAATAGAGGTAAAACAGGACACGAGGGCAATCATCCTCCACAGCAAGAACCTACAGGTCTCCAAAGCTCTTCTTTTGGGCTCCAGACAACATCATCATCATCAGGATCTTCAGATCAGTGAGTTTGAAGCCAATGAACAGATTGCACTCTTCTCTGAAGGCTTCACTTTCGAGAAAGGGAGCCATGTGGTGCATTTGGAGTTCTACGCCAACTTATCTGACAGCTTCCATGGCTTTTATAAAGGCCAGTACACTACAAATAGTGGGGAGGTTAGGTAAGACACATACATTGTTGGTTCAGAATACATACACAAGCAGTCAAAAGATTGCAAACAGTAAGATGTTTTAAAACACAGGCCTAAGTCTCAAACTGGATTCCTGAAGGGCTGCAATTGCACAGTTTGGCTCCAACCCTGAGTTGGAGGTGGTTGAAGCTAAACTATGCAGAGGTGCGGCCCTCCAGAAATTGAGTTTGAGACCATTGTTGTAAAAGAAGCCAATTCTACGCACCCATACTTCATTTATTTGATGAAAAGTACAGTAGATAATTGTGAAATATTATTACAATTTTAAATAACTGTTTTGTTATTTAATGTAGTATCAAATTTAATTAATTCCTGTCATTCAACGCTGATCACCATCAGTCTTCAGTGTCGCATGTTCCTTCAGAAATCATTATAATGTGATGACTTACTGCTCCATTATTCATTCATTCATTTTCCTTTAGCTTAGTCCCTTTATTTATCAGGGGTCACCACAGCGGAATGAACCACCGATTTATCCAGCATATGTTTTAGACAGAGGATGCCCTTCCAGCTGCAACCCAGTACTGGAAAACACCATACACACTTATTCACTAACATACACTATGGACAATTTAGTTTATTCACTCCCCCTATAGTGCATGTGTTTGGACTGTGGGGGAAATCCACACCAACAAGGGGAGAACATGCAAACTCCACACAGAAATGCCAACTGACCCAGCCGGGGCTTGAACCAGCGACCTTCTTGCTGTGAGGTGATCGTACTACTCACTATTAAACTTCCAAACACATGCTCTGTAGGGGAGTTGAATAAACTAAACTGGCCATAATGAATGAGTTTGTATGGATGTTTCCCAGTATTGGGTTGTGTTATGTGTAAACCGTATGCTGAATAAGTTGGCGGTTCATTCCACTGTGGCGACCCCTGATGAATAAATAGAGGCAAAGGAAAATGAATGAATGGTTTAGCTGTTGTTTTCCCTTTTTTTCTTCATTTGCATCTTTTTAATCGAAATCAAAATGGGATCGAAAATGGGATTGAATATCGATATTTTTCAAGGTATCGTATCGAAGTTGAAAATTCCAGTATCGTGACTATACTAGTGGAAATTGTGATACATTTTACTTTTACTATTCTTTAATTTTAAAAAAGAAAACTCAAAATAGCAGTTTTTTTAGATTACAAATGTGTTAACTTTCACTCTTAAACAATTGATTGTGATGAATAGAGGTAAATACATTTTTAATTGTACTTTTGATTGATATTGTATCAGTTTCCAAACTGACGACAACAACAATAATAATAAATGTTTCTTCATGAGCAGATCTGTCATTCATGTCTCTTCAGTTTAGTTCCTTTATGTATCAGGGGTCGCCACAGCGGAAGGAACCACCAACTAGTCCAGCATATGTTTTGCGCAGCGAATGCCCTTCCAGCCACAACCCAGTACTGGGAAAACGCCCAAACACTCATTCACACACACACACTAATACACTACGGCCTATTTTGGTGGGTGAAATCCACACCAACAAGGGGAGAACATGCAAACTCCTCACAGAAATGCTAAATGACCCAGCCGGGGCTTGAACCAGCGACCTTCTTGCTGTGAGGCGATCGTACTACTCACTATTAAACTTCCAAACACATGCTCTGTAGGGGAGTTGAATAAACTAAACTGGCCATAATGAATGAGTTTGTATGGATGTTTCCCAGTATTGGGTTGTGTTATGTGTTCATTCCACTGTGGCGACCCCTGATGAATAAATAGAGGCAAAGGAAAATGAATGAATGGTTTAGCTGTTGTTTTCCCTTTTTTTCTTCATTTGCATCTTTTTAATGTCGTTAAATTGAAATGGTATCGAAAATGGGATTGAATATCGATATTTTTCAAGGTATCGTATCGAAGTTGAAAATTCCAGTATCGTGACTACTAGTGGAAATTGTGATACATTCTACTTTTACTATTCTTTCATTAAAAAAAGAAAACTCAAAATAACATTTTTTTTTTAACATTACAAATGTGTTTACTATCAATCTAGAATAATTGATTGTGATGAATAGAGGTAGATACATTTTTAATTGTACTTTTGATTGATATTGTATCAGTTTCCAAACTGACGACAACAATAATAGTTGTTTCTTCATAAGCAGATCATTCATTCATGTCTCTTCAGCTTAGTTCCTTTATTTATCAGGGGTCGCCACAGCGGAAGGAACCACCAACTAATCCAGCATATGTTTTGCGCAGCGGATGCCCTTCCAGCCACAACCCAGTACTGGGAAAACACCCAAACACTCATTCACAGACACACTCATACACTACGGCCTATTTTGATTACCCAGGTCACCTATAGCGCATGTGTTTAGATTATGGGTGAAACCCACACCAACACGGGGAGAACATGTTAAGTCCACACAGAAATGCCAACTGGCCCATCCGTGACACCACTGAGACACCACTAACCACTGAGCCACCTTTTGAGTGACATGTGACACTGAAGACTCATGCTAAACTTCAGCTTTAAAACACAAGAATCAATCAAATTTTAAACTACGTTTACTAAAACAACAGTTCTTTAATATTGCATTTCCACATTTCACACTTTCTACTGTGTTTTTAATTAAATAAATGCAGCCTTTGTGAGCAGAATAAGTGTATGAAACATTAAAAAATCTTACTAAATCCAAACTTTTGACTGGGGATGTATGTGAAGTAGCATTAAAGATTAAACCCCCATTAAAGTGATGTTTTTTTTTCTTCCTATAGGATGTTGGCGTCCACTCAGTTTGAGCCGACACATGCCCGAGCTGCCTTTCCTTGTTTTGATGAGCCTGCATTCAAAGCCAACTTTACCATCCGCGTGCGCAGAGAATCAAGGCACATATCCATATCAAACATGCCCAAGGTGAACAATAAATACTTGTATCATGTAAAAAATGTTTTGGTTCAAGCAAAATTGATTCTATTCGTATTCATTATATTGTATTTCACCAAAAATCAAAATGTAAAAACGAGAAAAATCATCAAATATCTTATGCAGAGTGCTTAAAATGCATGCATATGGTGAATGTAGTTATAAAAAATAGATATGTCCAGAAAAAATTGGTTAATTATAAGGATACGCCCATATGAATTTTTGACCGATACAGATAACCGATAGTCAGGGCCAGACAGAATCTGCGGACATTTTAAGTTATTTCTGTGCAGAATTTAGGGAAAAAAATCAGTGGATTTATGCAGAATGATTTGGCAAGTACAGTAACTAAAAGCTTAAAACATAAAAAAAACTATTATTTAATTTAAAGTTTACAATGCAATTCTAATCAGGTCTTTTTAAACAAAGCAAGTGTCTTATATAAAATATTTACTTAAAGACAGAAAATATCTTTTTTTTTTTTTACCATAATATTTTTATTTTTCGTTTTCAGTTTGTACAAATTGTACATTTTACAAACATTTTACAACAATAATAACCTTATTGCATTTACAAATTATACAATATATATATATATATATATATATATATATATATATATATATATATATATTTATAATAAAAACTAAAAGCAAACAACAAACGAGCAAACAATAACAACAACAAAAAAATATATATTAAGTAATGTATCAATGCAGAACTATAAAGCTGGAACTGCATTATCCATCAAATATTATTCATCAACTTCTTCCTCTGTTAATTCCACTTCTTTGATATAACTAATGAAAGGGCTCCATATGTTTTCAAATACATGTTGTTTAGCTTTTAGTATATAAGTTATTTTTTCTAATGGCAGACTTAACAACATTTGTTTTATCCATTGAGTAGTGTTTGGTCTTTGCATCTTTGTCCATAGCAAAGCTACACATCTTTTGGCATAAAGCAAGCTGAGGTCTATAAATATTTGTTCGCTTCTACTGTAGTTTGAGTCCTCTGGGTATAAACCTAGCAAAAAAAGCTTTGGGTCAAGGAGGATTTGTTTTGAAATAATTTTTTCACTTATAATTCTCACCTCTTCCCAAAATAATTTAATTTTTGTGCACTGCCAAGTACAGTGAAACAAGGTTCCTCCGAAAATATCATTTTTAAAACTGTTTTATTAATTAAACATAAACATTTTGATATTGGTTAATAATATTACTGGAATTAATATAAAAACCAATACATATACAGTTGAAAGTCAGAATTATTCGCCCCCCAGTTTATTTTTCTTCCCAATTTTTGTTTAATGGAGAGCAGATTTTTTCAACACATTTCTAATCATAATAGTTTGAATAACTCATCTCTATTAACTGATTTCTTTTATCTTTGTCATGATGACAGCAAATAATATTTGATTAGATATTCTTCAGGACACTTATAAACAGCTTAAAGTGACATTTAAAGGCCGAACTAGGTTAATTAGGTTAACTAGGCAGGTTAGGGTAATTAGGCAAGTTATAACGATAGTTTGTTTTATAGATTAAAGAAAAAAATAGCTTAAAGGGGCTAATAATATTGACCTTAAAATTGTTCTTAAAAAATTAAAACTGCTTTTATTCTAGACGAAATAAAACAAATAAGACTTTCTCCACAAGAAAAAATATTATCAGACATGCTGTGAAAATTTCCTTGCTCTGTTAAACATCATTTGGGAAATATTTAAAAAAGAAAAAAAATTCATAGGGGGGCTAATAATTCTGACTTCGACTGTACATTCTAATGCTGAAGCTTATGTCACCCAATAGCTGAGAACTGTAGAGCTGGCTGACGGGATTCTGGAGGATCAATTTGACACCATGGTAAAGATGAGCACCTACCTGGTGGCCTTCATCATCTGCGACTTCCACTCCATCAGTAAAAAAAGTCAGCACGGAGTTGAGGCAAGTCAATAAATAGCCTTTCTAAAGTAACCAGACCTCAAGAAAACAGTCCTCTCACTCTTCATATCCTGATTTTATTGCAGATATCAGTGTATACAGTTCCCGAGAAGATCAGTCAAGCGGAGTATGCCCTCGACACCGCCGTCACAATGCTCGACTTTTATGATGAGTATTTTGACATCCCGTATCCGCTTCCCAAACACGGTGAGTGTGAAAGTTATCAGCAGTGGTCAGTTTTGCTACTGAAAATGGTTTGCATGATTAAGAGATTGTTCACTCACAAATGAAAATTTACTCACCGTTTACTCGCCCTCATGTGCTTTATACCCATTATTTTCTTATACTCGTATGGTTGAAGCTAGATATATTACCCCTTCTGAATTATTACAAACTTTAAACATAATAGTTTTAATAACTCATCTCTAATAACTGATTTATTTGATCTTTGCCATGATGACAGCACGTAATATTAGACTAGATATTTTTCAAGGCACTAGTATTCCACTTAAAGTGACATTTAAAGGCTTAACTAGGGTAATTAGGTAAATTTAGGGTAGTTAGACAAGTTATTGTATAACAGTGGTTTGTTCTGTAGACAGTCCAAAACAAATATAGCTTAAAGGGGCTAATCATTTTGACCTTAAAATGGTTTTAAAAAAAATTTTAAACTGCTTTTTATTCGAGCTGAAATTAAACAAGTAAGACTTCTCCAGAAGAAAAAACATTATAGGAAATACTGTGAAAATTTCCTTGCTCTGTTAAATATCATTTGGGAAATATTTAGAAAAGAAAACAAAATTCACAGGAATGACAGTAAATGGCAATTTTGTTCGCTTTATTCGCAAATGTTTAATGCGATTTTCCAGTTTTGGGCATAAATGTAATCCACTTTCTTTGGCTAAAACAGAGCGTTTTTCAGCATTTTTCAAAACATCTTTTCTGTTAATCTCAAACTCAAGAACTCAAATATGTTTAGAACAAAGAGAGGGTGAGTAAATGATCAGCGAATGTTCATTTTTGGGTGAACTATCCCTTAAAAATCCAGCATGAACACGTTTTTTTTTACTGTAATCTGAACATTTTTAAAACTGAATTCTGTCTATAATTATCTTTTCCTTGCAGATCTCGCAGCCATCCCAGATTTCCAGTCGGGTGCTATGGAGAACTGGGGTCTGTCGACGTACAGAGAGTCCGGTTTGCTCTTTGACCCTGAGAAATCTTCTTCCTCTGACAAATTAGGCATCACCAAAGTCATCGCTCACGAACTAGCCCATCAGGTAGATTTTTATATTAATAATTCAGTCCAAGGAATGATAAATGCACAGCCAGACAGACGTTTTTTCTCAGGGCTTGTAGGGAGTACTTTAATTTTTATCAAGTGTTTTCAAGGATTGAAACTTAGATTTTTGGAAAATGTTTTGCTTTGATAATAATAGATCTTATTAAATGGGTACTAATAATTTTAGATATTTTTTTTGGGGGGGGGTTTCACCTTTATTATGCCAGGACAGTAGTGAATTCAGACAGGAAAGCATTGGGAGCAGAGAGAGGGGAAGGATTGGCAAAGGACCTCGAGCCGAGAATCGAACTCGGGTCGCCGTGAGCACGTTGCTGCTATAGTACCACTAGGCTGTGTTAATTTGAATAAATAAATCTTAAGGGTATCAAAATTACCTAAATAGAAGCATACATTGAGATTAAATATTGATTCAAATTATTTATATAATTAGTGAGAAATATTAGAATTGAGCAACATTATCCTTCTATTGTAATTATTATGAGCAAAAGTTATAACTATCATAGTTAACATAAATGATTGTAGAACTTTAGGGTCAATTTAAGGGGAAAGTTGAGAAGAAATAACTTGATCCTGCAATATTTTAAAGTTTGTTTTGTCTTATTTGAACAGTTATTTAGAGACTCTCTTAGCTAATCTTACATATTGTATCAAGATTGAAAAGATGTTAAAGGGATAGTTCACTCTAATTGAAAATCCGGTTATAAATTCCTCACTTCTCATGTCATTTCAAACTCCTGAGACACAAATAAAAATATTTTAGATGAAACCCGAGAGCTCTCTGACCCTCCATAGACACTCATCACGATGTTGAATTATGTTGTTGTTTTTTTCCAGTGGTTTGGAAACCTGGTCACAATGCAGTGGTGGAACGACCTGTGGTTAAACGAGGGCTTTGCCAAGTTCATGGAGTATGTGTCGGTCAACATCACTCACCCTGAGCTGCAAGTGGTGAGCTGCATTTCTCTACAACCTTTAATTCAGTTCATCTTTATTTCTATAGCTCGTTTACAATGTAGCTTGTGTCAAAGCAGCTCAACAGAGAAGATCTAGTAAATTGTAATTGCTTCAGTCCAGTTTGCAGAGTTGAGGTTCAGTTCAGTTTAGTTTAGTTCAGTGTAATGCAAATGTCAGTGCTGAAAGCCCGAACACTGAAGAGCAAATCCATCAATTTAGATAGATAGATAGATAGATAGATAGATAGATAGATAGATAGATAGATAGATAGATAGATAGATAGATAGATAGATAGATAGATAGATTGATTGATTGATTGATTGATTGATTTAATAGTGATTGAAGGATGGATATCATGGATAGATTTTGACTGATATGTAGCTGTACTTGATCTGACTCAGTGTTTCTGTTGTAGAATGATTATTTCCTGGAGAAATGCTTCACTGCCTTATCCGTGGACTCTCTGAGCTCCTCGCACCCTGTTTCCACTCCAGTAGAGAATCCTGCAGAGATCAGCGAGATGTTTGATGACGTCTCCTATCGAAAGGTACACTAGCACTTCATATTCCATGGGTAAAATAAGTAAACATTTAAAGTAACCTTTAACCTTTATTGAAAAAAAAGGTATAAATAAGGTCAACTTTTTTCGGAAAACCTGTTTCTAAGAATGTTGTCATCAGATATCACTAACAATGTCCATATATACAAAGCAAAGAAAATTTTATTTCTGTTTCAATCATACTTCAACACTAGGGGGTGAACGCGCACATAATTTCCACATAAAATTTATTAAAGAATAGATGTCAGCTGGGCGAGGCAGTGGCGCAGTAGGTAGTGCTGTCGCCTCACAGCAAGAAGGTCGCTGGTTCGAACCTCGGCTCAGTTGGTGTTTCTGTGTGGAGTTTGCATGCTCTCTCTGCCTTCGCGTGGGTTTCCTCCAGGTGCTCCAAAGTCCAAAGATATGTGGTACAGGTGAATTGAGTAGGCTAAATTGTCCGTAGTGTGTGTGTGAGTGTGTGTGTGGATGTTTCCCAGAGATGGGTTGCGGCTGGAAGGGCATCCACTGCATAAAAACTTGCTGGATAAGTTGGCGGTTCATTCCGCTGTGGCAACCCCGGATTAATAAAGGGACTAAGCCGACAAGAAAAATGAAATAGATGTCAGCTATGGTCAACCATCACTGTCGGACAGCAAAGAGGATAGAAACGGATAAATGGATCAAATATAAAGACAATAAACATAATTCTGAAGGTGCTGTTGACTTGAAATTTTCACCAGATGTTGGTAAGAAATCCATATATGCAAAGAAAACAAAACTAATTAGTTTACAAATGAAGTTCTGTGTATTAAAATGAAATGACACAGGGAAGAAGTCTTGAACACATGAATAAAGGGAGGTGTAGAAATGCACTGAAAGCCCAGACAGCAGCTGAAATCGTTTAGTAGTTCTTCAGAACCTCATCAGTGTATATGAATATTAGCTGCTTCAGCAACACCTACTGTACATTACCAGATGATGAAGATGAAACCAGGGTGGACATTTCAGTAAAACAATTAATGCAAACACAGACAAGGAAACTCCAATTGGTTTCAGAAAAGAAAATAAAGCTGTAGAATGGCCCAGCCAGTCACCTGAGCTGAATTGACAGACCTGAAAACCAAAATATGAAGACTCTGTTGAAGTCAGGGAAAATCACACCTGAGCAATGCGACTCCATTCTTCATACAAGAGCTGCCATTACCAAACAAAGACTTTTATACCAAGAATTAAATACAAAAAAACTCTTACAGTAGTGTCAGGAACACAATTTAAGCAAAAAAAACGGTCAAAACAAATCGTAGAGTGGAAGTTAAATGGTTATGATGTCAGAATATGTCAACCAATTAAAGCTGATAGTTTTAAATAGGGCACATATCACCCAGTATATGCAGTTTGATCATATTAATCATTTCCTTCCTAACTGATTGTTAATAATCTCTCAAGGGTGCGTGTATCCTGAATATGCTGAGGGATTTTCTGACTCCAGAGGTGTTCAAGTACGGTATTATAAACTACCTGAAGAAACACAGCTACCAGAACACAGTCAACTCGCACCTCTGGGAGAGCCTTACCAATGTGAGTAATTCTGTTGGCTCCTGTCTGAGTTATTCAGTCTTTTAAATGCTTGTTATTAAGGCTGAATGCTTCTCAATCTCTTCAGATCTGCACTTCAGATGGATTGGATTCAGGGAGACTAAAACTTGACGGATTCTGCTCCAAACACACGGCTGAAACGCCAGCCTCTGTAAGTGCTGCAACAAATGATCTGTATATTTTTATTCTGTTCAAATAGTTTGTGTTTTGTGATATTTGGCTTCAGAAGTTAAACTCTTATAATGTTTCCTCCCTAAATTTCATCACACAAACTTATAAATCAGAATAAATCAGTTTATTAAAGGGATAGTTCACCCAAAAATGAAACTTCTGTCGACATTTACTCACCCTAAGGTGTTTCCAAACCTGTTTGAGTTGTACACAAAAGAAGATATTTTGAAAAATGTTGTAAACGAGTAACCATTGACTTCCATAGTATTTGTTTTTCTGACTATGAAGGTCAGTGGTTACAGGTTTTCAGCTTTCTTTAGGATATCTTCTTTTGTGTTCAACAGAACAGGTTTGAAACCACTCAAGGGCGAGTAAAGGGTGAGTCAATTTTCATATTTGGTAGAAGTATGCCTTTAATGGCCCGTTTCCACTGAGTGGTACAGTACAGCAAGATTCAGTTCGGTATGCTTTTATGGCCGTTTCCACTGTCAAAGGGTTGCTAAAATGCGAACCGTACCACTTTTTGGTCACCCTTTGCAAAGGGTACCTAGCACCAAAAAAAAAAGGGTACCAAACGGCGGAGCAAGACGTGAGCTGAACACTATTGGTTTACAGAGATGCATCACTCACAGAAGCAGGAGAATGAAAACAAAGAAAGCGCCATTTTTAAATACACAGCTGAGACATTAAACAGTAATAATATATACATATAATAGCAAGCCATGGTCAACCCAAGCTCAAACAAGCCTTGTCGTCGTCTTAAAGAACAGCCACAAAGCTAAGAAGAACAAACTCTGCTGTGTCCTGTTGTTGTTTTATGAGCTCGCCGCTCGTCTATATTTAAAATAACGAATTTCTTGAGCTGATGATAAGAACGTGTGCCTGATTATTGAAGAGCTTCTGACACCTGACCCTTTCAGAAACGGACAAACGCGAGAGTGAAGCGCGAAAAAACTAAGGTGAAGCCGGAAAAAAACTGCAGCAAATGATGCTTCTGCAACCTAAAACATGAACAAACTGCCATATTTAACTACTATCATCACCTTTTGGGCGACCTGTACAGCTTTACTGTGACATTTCCTTGAGTAAAAATGACGTCGTCTGAAACGTTCTGTCGTACACCATGCCCACCGAAAGGGTACCCTTTTGGCAGTGGAAACACAAGCGTGATAAAAGTGACCCATACTGTACCTCTCAGTGGAAACCGGCCATAAGTATTCATGAAAACCTGTTCTGGCAGAAGTGGTTCAAGGAGGACAGTGTTGACGTTGGAGCCATCATGGACACCTGGACTCTGCAGGAGGGCTTTCCTTTAATCACTGTGGAGGTCAAAGGTCAAGAGGTCACTCTTAAACAGGAGCGCTTCCTGAAAGGAGCAGAATCGTCAAAGTAAGGCCATGTTAAGTCGTATACGGATAGTTTTAAAAGGGTGATCCACTACGATATCATGTTAAACTTTAGTTGATGTGTAATGTAGCTGTGTGAACATAAACAGCATCTCTGCATGTCATTGGCTTTTACAGAGTTAGCTTAGCAAAGCCTACACCGAACGAAGTTTGGGGACTACAAAAAAATGGTTGTTGCTAGAACAGATATGGTTGCGGTCAGAAGTTAACGAGAATTGTTTATATTATTTATTACATTTTCCATTTATTGTATTTTATTAATGCTACCCCAGGGCTGTGCAATTAATCGAAAATTCGATTTCGGCTTCTAACGATTATGAAAATCCTTAATCGAGATAAACTATTATTGCATTATATACCGCCCCATTTCCAGTTGTACACATTTGTTGCTCTGCAAAGCTCAGTTTCACATGAAAATGACTAAAAGCATGTGCTGTATTATAACGTTTGCAGCACGAGATGCGCATCGTTCATTGATTTACATTCTAATCATGTTTTTAAAAGCGCGAATAAGACTGCATGCCGTCAGCCTTCGGTCTCATTTGCACACTGTGCGCTCAGAGACGAGCAGAGCACACACATCTAAAGTCATCTTAATGTGAACGCTTTAATGGTCAAATAGGTGTCAACGCGGTGTTTAGTGATTATTATTATTATAACCCTCATTTGTGTAATAAAGAAACGAGTTGAGAATCAAAAGACACGTGAAAGAGAAACCATTAAAGAGACAGTGCGCAATATTCCTGCTGCCGCCTGTTTTTATCATTATTAATCAAACAACAAAAGGAGAACATCCCTCACTGCTCTTAACTGAAGGACTGCTGTAGCTAAAGTTTAATTCTTACAGTGAAGATGCTTAAAGCACGGTTTGTTTCATATTTTTATTCTGCTGTATTTATTTCCCTTTCTTTATTTACATGGAGGAAAGTAACTGTGCATTTATACAGTTAAAGTCAGAATTATTAACCCTCCTGAATTATTAGCAACCCTTTTCCCCCGAATTTCTGTTTAATGGAAAGAAGATTTTTTCAACCCATTTCTGAACATAATAGTTTTGATAACTCATCTCTAATACTCTAAAACTTTGCCATGATGACTGCACATAATATTTTACTAGATATTTTTCAAAATACAAACATTCAGATTCAAAGTGCAAGCCAAAGGCTTAATTGGGGTAATTAGGCAGGTTATTGTATAACAGTAGTTTCTTCTGCGGACAATCAAACAATAGAGTGCTTAAAGGGCACCTATGGTGAAATATCTACTTTTCAAGCTATTTGGACAAACATATGTGTATATATAGTGTATAGACCATCATATTGAGCTGATATAAACACACCCAGTCCTTTTTTTTAAATTTAACAACATAAAAACGGTGGACCAATTAGAGCGGTTTTCAGACCGACCGCAACTTTACGTAGGAATGCGATTCCCCCGCCCACCGAATTGATTGACAGCTGCGCGCATTAACATGTCCCGGTAGTCATGTGTATATGTCAACAAGACCAGACATACGCAAAGCAACCGGGAATAAAAGGTCTGTTCAGTTCGCTCGGATCAGCAATCATCATCAGATGTGATTAAGAGTGAGCTTCACATGTTTAAAGTGTTTTAAAACAGAGCACGTGTGTAATTAATTACAGCGAATTACTTCAGATTCACTTCATCAGCACAATTATAAAGGGAGACACTTCAATCCTGGTTTGTAGACGTTAAATCAGGTTTATTTTGTACAATAACATAACAGATATCCACACAGCAGTGGAGCTTAGCCTGTATCCTGTCACATTTGAGTGCAAAAACAGTGCAAAGCTGTGTCTGTCTGCCTGTCTCTGTGTGTGTGTCAGCTGCGGTGTGCGTGTGTGTGCGCGCGCGTGAACTTTGTAACGATATTGCGTGTGACTCATCAACGCGACTGCACAACAAACACTGATTAACGTTAGTAAAGTTCTTACTGTAGTATCTCACAAACGCTACGTGAGACCTTCTTCCTTTAAGTCTGTCTGTTGTCTGACGCAGCCGAGGGAGAAGATTAAAGCACGCGGGAAGGCACGTAGAAACAGTAGGCGGGAAAGACTTGTCTTAAAGGCGCAGTACGACAAAACCACCCCCTGCTGGAAATGAGTATAAAATATGATCTTGTAAAAGGTATAATGAAAAATCTGGTGGGTGTTTTGAGCTGAAACTTTATATACACATTCTAGAGACGCAAAAGACTTATATTAAATCTGAAAAAAGGGGTAACCTAGGCGCCCTTTAAGGGTGCAGACCTCTACACCAAACCTCCTTGCTGTCCTACCATTTTATTTGATTTTATTTCAGACCCGAATTCTAAAACTAAAAGTAATAACAATAATTTATTTCTCTTGATAATTAGTAGTTTTCTTAATGTAAATTAGTACTTACAACCCGACACATTCATGGTGTATTACTATCATTGTATTATTATCCCAGTTGTTCAGTTTTGTATTGATTCTCTGTATCTTTCATGTCTCCCAGTTCATCAAGCTTCCTGTGGCAGGTTCCTCTGACGTACATCACCAGCGGCAGTAATGCAGTGCAGCGTTTCTTGCTGAAAACCGAAAGAGGTTTGCTGCGTCCCATGATCAAACATTAAACCCACTCATTATACCTTCAGTTGTGCTGAGACTGAACTCTTGTGTGCGCCCGCAGATGTGTTTTACCTGCCAGAGAAGGTGGAGTGGATTAAATTTAACGTGGATCTGCGAGGATATTATATTGTGCATTATGAGTCTGGAGGCTGGGATTGCTTGATTAAGCAGCTCCGAATGAACCACACTGTGTTCAGCAGCAACGACAGAGCCAGTCTCATACATGACATCTTCCAGCTGGTCAGGTCTGTGCCTTCATGGATAGAGTACATATACAGTTGAAGTCAGATGTATTAGCCCCCCCCTGAATGATTAGCCCTCCTGTATATTTTTGTTCTCTAATTTCTGTTCAACGGAGAGCAGATGTTTTCAGCACATTTCTAAACATAATAGTTTTAATAACTCATCTCTAATAACTGTTTTATTTTTGTCATGATGACAGTAAATAATATTTGACTAGATACTTTTAAAGACACTTCTATACAGCTTAAAGTGACATTTAGGGAGTACTCATTGGGGTTGGGCAATGTTGACCAATTTGACATCCTACGATGTCTAATGTGAAACATTGCGATGTGTTGTTTTATTTTATTTTACTTTTTTATTTTATTTTAGATAACATTTTATTTTTGTAATTTTATTTTATTTTAGATACAATTTTATTTTATTATTTTATTTTATTTTAGATAACATTTTATTTTTGTAATTTTATTTTATTTTAGATACAATTTTATTTTATTATTTTATTTTATTTTAGATAACATTTTATTTTTGTAATTTATTTTATTTTAGATAACATTTTATTTTTTTATTTTATTTTAGATAACATTTAATTTTTAATTTTATTTTATTGTATTTTTGATAACATTTTTTTTTTCCTTATTTTTTTAGACAACATTTCACTTTTGAAATATTTTTAATTTTATTTTAGATAACATTTTATTTTAAATTTTTTTTTTGTATTTTAACATTTTATTTTTTTTCTTATTTTTTAGACAACATTTCATTTTTTTATATTTTTTATTTTATTTTATTTTAGATAACATTTTTTATTTTATTTTAGAAAAATTGTATTTATTTATTTATTTTTATTTTTTTATTTTAGAGAACGTTTTATTTTTTATTTTATTTTATTTTAGATAACATTTTATTTATTTTTTTATTTTTTATTTTAGATAACATTTTATTTTTTATTTTATTTTATTTTAGATAACATTTTTTATTTTATTTTAGAAAAATTGTATTTATTTATTTATTTTTATTTTTTTATTTTAGAGAACGTTTTATTTTTTATTTTATTTTATTTTAGATAACATTTTATTTATTTTTTTATTTTTTATTTTAGATAACATTTTATTTTTTATTTTATTTTATTTTTTATTTTAGACAATTGATGTCCTGATAATGAGTAAGTTTTTTTTTTTTTTGTTTCATCAAGAAAAATAATTTAGAAAAATTACAATTTAGAAAAGAAATTATTTTTAGCTTATTTTTTTTAATTCAAGCCAAAAAACTGTTTAGAAAAAAAATGTTCTTCGACTATTTTATTTTATTTTATTATAGTGCCAGATAATTGATGACCTGATAATTAATCTGTCTGTCTTTACCTCAGCATTGAGAAGGTCCCTCTGGATAAAGCTCTGAATCTGAGTTTGTATCTCAGTAAAGAGTCCGAGATCATGCCGGTGACGCAGGGCTTCAGTGAACTGGTGCCGCTTTACAAACTCATGGAGAAGAGAGACATGCAGGAACTGGAGAACCAGCTCAAGGTATCAATGCAGACAAACCAATCTGGCTAAAGATGAAATGTGGAATATTTTAGATATTCAGATGCTTTGCAGTGTCTCAGTTCAGGACATATTTAGAAATTCTAAAGTAGCAAAACAAGATAACTTTGCAAAGGGTACCTAGCAGGACAAATGGGTACCAAAAGACGGAGCTAGACACACAGGCAGGAGAATGAAAACAAAGAAACCGCCATTTTTAAATAGCTCGAGTCTTGCTGTGAAGGGACAGTGCCAACCGCTGAGCCACCGTGCCACCCGTCCCTTTAAATGTAAGGTGCGAATAAGAGCATATATTTTAGACAAACTGTTAGTGTTTTATTGTGTTTTCAGAGTCATTTAGTGAAGTTATTCCAGCCACTGATTGACCGGCAGAGCTGGTCTGATAATGGGTCTGTGTCCGAGCGGATGCTCAGGAATTATCTGCTGCTGTTCGCGTGTGTCCGCCGCTACCCGTCCTGCGTCAGCACCGCCACACAGCTGTTTCACAAGTGGAAGGAATCTGATGGCAAAATGTGGTAAGAGTTTGACTCACTGAGCGACCTAGTTCATATCAATGAACACTTTTTCACAAGTCGTGATAGTTGGTAAACTTAGAGCGCAGTAAATAGTACAACAAATCATTGTTTTTTACAATCCTATTTGCTGTATTAATAAAAGAAGCTGACAGAAAGGAAAACAGGGGAATGAGTATACGCTAACCTGCACATTATTCAGACACAAGATGGCGCCAAACAGTCAAAAACATTACGCTGACAGAAACTCAAACAGCTGATGGAGTATACACTAACCTGCGCATTATTCAGACACAAGATGGCGCCAAACAGTCAAAAACACAAAGCTGACAGAAATAGCTGATGGAGTATACACTAACCTGCACATTATTCAGACACAAGATGGCGCCAAACAGTCAAAAACACAAAGCTGACAATAACTAAAACAGCTGATGGAGTATACACTAACCTGCACATTATTCAGACACAAGATGGCGCCAGACAGTCAAAAACACAAAGCTGACAATAACTAAAACAGCTGATGGAGTATACACTAACCTGCGCATTATTCAGACACAAGATGGCGCCAAACAGTCAAAAACACAAAGCTGATCGAAAATAAACTGCCTGAACGATACTACTTTACGTGTTATTAATTTACAAGATGGCAAAAAAAAGAAGCTTGACAGACGAGCAGATATATACAATTGCTGATGTAATTATGGATGTGAACGTTTTAATTGATGGTTAAGGTGATTTGAAATGCTGTTATTTTCGTTATTAGCTCCGTATATCAAAGAATTGTTATTTAGCGGATGTTATTTCAGAATAACATACCTTGTAATGTCACGACTGACCAATCAGGAGCGAGTATTCCTGTCAGCCGTGTAATAATGTGTAATGACATATTAAAAAGCTGTAATCATTTTATCAAAATCATTTCAAATTTCAGTTGTATTTGTTTTATTAATTCAACTTATAGCTACAGTGTTTATGGTTACTTCTCACTGTTCATTTTAATGCACTACGTAACGTTTCTTATAATATTATAAAGTGTTATCCTTTTGTTCCTTATATTCCTTTTGCAAATGAATCTGTTTAAAGCATTTATCCACTCTGAATGTGTATATACACAAAACACTAAGTATTTTTTTGGTTGTTATGAGTGTTAAATGAACCTTTTTTGCAGCTTAGCTCAATATCGCAATAATACTGTAAATCTTGATAAAAGCCTAGAATGATGCAGACTCACTGTTCTTTTGTTTCAGGCTTCCTACCGACGTCAGTTTGGTGGTCTACACTGAAGGGGCGCGAACAGACGACGGCTGGGACTTTTTGTTAGAGAAATACAAGCGATCCGTCTCTCCATCAGAGAAGTGGATGATTAAAGCTGCCCTCTCGTACAGTCCACTAGCTCACAAACTTCAGTGGTGAGTCTGCAGCTGCTGAGATGTCGTTTTCCTACAGTAGTTCACCCAAACATGACAATAACCCTTGAAATCTGCGCGAAACGGTAGTTGCAGACTTTTATTTTAAGTATGTTGCCCCCCGTTTATTTTTTTCCCCAATTTCTGTTTGACGGAGAGCAGATTTTCTCAGCACATTTCTAAACATAATAGTTTTAATAACTTATTTCTATTAACTGATTAATTTTATCTTTGCCATGATGACAGTAAACAATATTTGACTAGATATTTTTCAGGACACTTCTATACAGCTTACAGTGACATTTAAAGGCTTAACTAGGTTAATTAGGGTAACTAGGCAGGTTAGGGTAATTAGGCAAGTTAATATATAACGATGGTTTGTTCTGTAGACTATCGGAATAAAATATAGCTTAAAGGGGCTAATAATATTAACCTTAAAATGGTTTTTAAAAAATTAAAAACTGCTTTTATTCTAGCCGAAATAAAACAAATAAGACTTTCTCCAGAAGAAAAAATATTTTCAGACATACTGTGAACATTTCCTCGCTCTGTTAAACATCATTTGGGGAATATTAGAAAAAGAAAAAAAAAATCAAAGGGGGCGAATAATTCTGACTTCAACTGTACTTCCAACTGAAACAGATTATTAAGTAGAGGGTGAGGCTTTTTTTTTTTGCGCATCAATCCCTCAAAGCAAACTAATGATAAGAGAGAGTATTAATATGCAGTTGCTATGAAAACCCCCAGGTTGAACTCCAAACGAAAAAGCAAAGGGTCAGACTTTGACTGAAGTTTACCACAACAAACACATTTTTTCCAGTGGAATAACTTGCACTGATTAATTATTGACCTTAAGAACGATACTGTGAGCTAGCAAAGTAAACATTGAAAATTTTATTTCACGCAACTACATTAATTTCACTGAAATTCTGACCGAAATTTAATGTAAAAGGTTTCTGGATATTGGCTCATATTGTAAGGGATTAAACACCTGCCTTCTGCTGCTTAGTAAAAAAGCTTTTTGAATTATTGTTAAAAATAGAAAGTGCAATTCCCACATATATCCAGCAGGGCTATAGAGATTTCATTAGGCCGCTTTTCTTGACGCTTCAAAAAAAAATTCCTTAGAAATGTGTGATATACATTCACAAAATATATATTTAAACATTCTAAAACACATTAAAATTCCCTATTTTATATTTGTTTTTGTTGCCGTTGAATATATATATTTTTTAATTGTTTTCTTTGGCAAATTATTAGAAATGTATTATATATATATATATATATATATATATATATATATATATATATATATATATATATATATATATATATATATATATATATATATATATATATATATATATATATATATATATATATATATATATATATTTGTGTGTGTGTGTGTGTGTGTGTGTGCAGTTGAAGTCAGAATTATTCACCCCCCTTTGAATTTTTCTTCTTTTTTAAATATTTCCCAAATGATGTTTAACAGAGCGAGGAAATTTTCACAGCATGTCTGATAATATTTTTTCTTCTGGAGAAAGTCTTGTTTTATTTTATTTTGGCTAGAATAAAACCAGTTTTAAATTTTTTAAACACCATTTTAAGGTCAATATTATTAGCCCCTTTAAGCTAATTGTTTTTCTGACTGTCTACAGAACAAACCATCATTATACAATGACTTTCCTAATTACCCTAACCTGCCTAGTTACCCTAATTAACCTAGTTAAGCCTTTAAATGTCACTTTAAGCTGTATAGAAGTGTCTTGATAAATATCTAGTAAAATATTATTTACTGTCATCATGGTGAAGATAAAATAAATCAGTGATTTGAGATGAGTTATTAACTATTATGATTAGAAATGACTTGAAAAAATCTCTTCGTTAAACAGAAATTGGGAAAAAAATAAACGGGGGTCTAATAATTCTGACTTCAACTGTATATATTATTATAATTATTATATTAATAAGATTATTATAAATTTCAATAATTATGACATGACTTCATTAATGACTATGATTATCTCAGTTGATTTATTTTTATAGAACAAATTATGAAATTTAAATAAAATAGTGAATAAAACCCAAATAAAGCAACATTAACAACATGATTAACTTCTTATCTTTTCAATCCTTGATCCCTTTTTGTGTGTCTTATTACGTCTAGGCTTTTGGAAAGAAGCAGTGAAGGAGAGATCATGAAAACTCAAGACCTGCCGTCGATGCTTATCAGCGTCAGTAAAAACCCCAAAGGCTTCAAACTGGCCTGGGACTTCCTGAAAAGCAACTGGGGGAAACTGGTGAAAAAGTGTGTGGCAAATGATCCATCTGATATATTAATAACAGCTTAAACATCTACCAGAATCACCTTATTAGATAGTTGAATGAAAAGGAGTTTTTTCTCTAAATAAACACATACACAATTTTGGTTCTTGCAACACATTTCAACAAAGTTGTAGCAGTAGAGCATTTCCCACTTTGTGAGTTGCTGTTCCTTTTCACAACATTTAAAAGACATTTAGGAACTGAAGACACCAAGTGATGAAGTGTTTCAGGTGTCATTTTGTCCTATTCTTCCTGCAAACAAGTCTTAAGGTGGGCAACAGTACGAGTCTTCAAAATGCGCCACACATTCTCTATTGGAGACAGGTCAGGACTGCAGACAGGCCAGTCAAGTACCTGCATCCTCTTCAGCCAGGAATTTGTAATGTGTGCAGAACGTTTGCTCCTAAAGGACTAGACCTTTCTTGGATGCTGCATTTGTGTCAAATCATTATTACAATCACCTGTCAACGTCACCTGTTTTTAAATCACATTGTTATTTAACCAGTTTACCTGATTACTAGTTCTAAACTGCTCCGGTGCCAACTGTTTTTGAAATGTAGTGCAAGAACCAAAGTTGCAATACGTGTTTATTTAAAAAAAATAAAAACATTAAAAATCATAACTAATATATATATATATATATATATATATAATCGTAATTAAAAGTTTTCCTTACTGTTGCAACCTTGTTCCAGGTTTGATCTCGGCTCTTCTGCTATATCTCGCGTGGTGGTCGGAGTCACCGATCAGTATTCCACCAAAGAAATGCTTGATGAGGTACGTCACATTGATGATCCTTTCTGAAACTATGAGCCGGTTTAAGCTAAAATCCGGGCTAGGCCTTATTTGAAGGAATAGTTCTCCCAATACTGGAAATCCAGTCATCGTTTACGCTCTCTTCACTTTTTTCAAACTTGTTTGACTTTTTCTGTTGAACAAAAACAAAGATGTTTTGAGGAAACCTGCAACCATCCATAGTATTTGTTTTTCCTACCATTCGTTCATTTTCTTTTCAGCTTAGTCCCATTATTAATCAGGGGTCGCCACAGTGGATTGAACCGCCAACTTATCCAGTATGTTTTATGATGCCCTTGCAGCTGCAACCAATCACTGCGAATCACACACACACACTCACACTACAGACAATTTAGCTTACCCAATTCACCCATAGCAAATGTTTTTGGACTTGTGGGGGAAACCAGAGCACCCAGAAAAAACCCACACCAACACGGGGAGAACATGCAAACTCCACACAGAAATGCCAACTGACCCAGCCGGGACTTGAACCAGCAACCTTCTTGCTGTGAGGCAATTGTGCTACCCACTGCACCCCAGTGCTGCCCCTTTTTCTACTGTGGTTAATTTAGATTTTTTTTTCCATCTTTCTTCAAAATATCTTCGTTTTTTTTGTGTTCAGCTAAAGAGAAAAACTTAGAAAGGTTTTAAACCATTTGAGAGAGTCAATGTACATTTTTGAGTGAGCTACCCCCCCCCCCCCTCCCTCAAAAAACAAAACAAAAAAAATATAGATTGTTGTGTGACTCCATCTTTGTTTGTTTGTGGTGTAGGTAGAGTTGTTCTTTGGGTCACTGGCGCAGGATCAGGGCTCCGGGCTCCGCAGTATCCAACAGGCCCTGGAGAAAATCCAGCAGAACATCCTCTGGATGGACAGGAACGTCCCACTGCTGAAAGCCTGGCTGGACCATCACACTTCATGATGCTTCAGAAAGTGTGTTCGTGTGTGTGTGTGTGTTTGTGTGTGTGTGTGTGTGTGTGTGTGACATCAGGACACAAATCTGTATAATGTTATACAGTAGGTTTTTTCAGGAAGTAAAACTGCTTCCTGTGAGGGTTGGGTTTAGGGGTATGGTGGGGTTTAGGGCAATACAAAATAAAGTTTGTACAGTACAAAAACAATAGAAACCTATGGAATGTTCCCACAATTCACAAAAACAAACGTGTGTGTGTGTGTGTGTGGCTCCAGACTGCAGTTTCAGCTCCAGTGCAGATTTTTACAGCGGTTGCACACTGCAAGTGTAACTGCAGCTGAAGACTCGTGACTGTTGTAGAGCATCCGCATCTGCTCCAAACGGCAGATCGAAGGAACTTAGCCAGGACATCGGGGTTAAACCCTTACTCTTTACCAGAAATGCCATCGGCTTAACGTCTCATCTGAAAGACGGCGCTTACTGACAGCATGGTGTCCCCTTCACTATACTGGGGCATTAGGACTCACACAGACCACAGGTTGAGCGCCCCCTGCTGGCCTCACTAACACCACTTCCAACAGCAGCCTAGTTTTCCCATGTGGTCTTCCATCCAGGTACTGACCAGGCTCAGCCCTGCTTAGCTTCAGTGAGTAACCGGTCTCGGGCTGCAGGGTGATATGGCTGTGGCGAAGGTAACTTCACTCCTGTGATGCTCCATTAATGCTGAAAAGTACATAGAGATTGTGGAGCACAATATGCTGCCGACTTTTCCAGAGTTGGAAACCACATTCTGCACACATTAGAGTCCTGACTGCGAAGGAAGAGGATACAGCTTCTTGACTGGCCTGCCTGTAGTCCCGACCTGTCTCTAATAGAGAATGTGTGGAGCATTTTAGAGCACATAGTGCAACAATGAAGACTCCATACTGTCGGCCACCTAAAGACTTGTTTGCAGGAACAATGGGACACAATAACACCTGAAGCACTTCATCACTTGGTGTCTTCAGTCCCTAAACGTCTTTTAAGTGTCGTGAACAGGAACAGCAACATTACACAGTGGTAAATGCTCTACTGTTACAACCTGAACCAAAAAAAGGCAATAAATCATGAGGAACACGTCAAATAAGGTTTGTTCTGTTGTCTGCAATGAGAAGTTAAAGGAAAGATGCTGTTGACTAGATGTATAGTATTTGTAATGTTAATATCAGTTTAGTACATTTCAGTGTTATATTTTCAGACAGGATTTTTCTTCGCTTATTTAAAACCTTGTAATAAGTTTGCCTTTTATTCTAAGCATAGACTAAAATATATGGATGTAGTATCAGTGACGTCACCCATAGGTTTCTGAACACTGCAAAAGCAGCTACAAGTAGGCGTGGCCAACCGTCGCCATTTTGTTTATGCGTCGTCGCACCCGTGGCGGGATACCAAACAAGCGCAAAGAGGCGGAGAGTGAGCGGAGCTACAGACACTGCTGGCATTTTGACCTTAGACCTGGCGTAGACAGACTTTACTATGGGGGAACGCTAAATACTTCATTACCTGCGACTCGTTTGTGTTCTGACCACACGTGCTTGTTTGTAAACTATATCAGTGGTACTACTTTTTTCATTAAGTACCACCTCAGAGAAAAAAAAAAAAAGTCTCTCCAAGAACCACCAAAAATGAGCAGTATTGAAATACAGTAGTGTAGTAGGCCCAGTACAGCAGCTACAACTCTGCACAGTTAAAAAATCATGGCAGATTACCTCAGAAATATAGGCTATATGACATATTATATACACCATTTTTGATACATTTTTAAATGTGTGTAGCATGTACTTGTACCATTAGTGTTACACGTACCACAGTTTGAGAACGCCTGCACTATATCAATATATATCAAGTGTTTAGACTTTTAAAAACACTGTTGTAATACACGGAGCAACTGAACACTGTTTTTCTACAGGAGGAAAACGCAAATGACTTCCAAACACTTCAGATAGAGTCTGTGTTAGTAAGGTAAATGCAAGGCTATTGATGAAATCCAGGCATAACACTGTATGATAACGCTTCAGATGACTGTTCTAGACAAGTGGTGCTCGCTGCAGAGCCATTTGAGGAGAGGTGAGCTCCAGAGAGGGGGAGCTTAAGCTTGAGCTCCACCTTTTTTGCACTTCTTCTACGAGTGATGTCACTGGGGGTAGGGTTAGGGGTGGGGTTGGTGTACGCATTAAAACAGCTTACAGGAGGAGGAGCGACAGCTCATGCTCCCCCTCTCTGGAGCTCACCTCTCCTCAAATGGCTCTGCAGCGAGCACCCTCTCGAGCCTACAGCTAATCAATCTGTCAGATTCTGGAGTGCTTTATAGCTCTAAAGAGAAATATAATTGATCCTAAATAAAACAAATACGTGTATAGAGATGGTATAGAAGTATATAATTTTACTCATATGAGAAATGGAGGCCACATGAACGGTTTGTGAGCACAATTAAGTGCACACAGCATCGCATATCATCTGATAATCGTAAAAAAATTAGTCCAAAAGGCAACTGACTGTGTAAAAAAAACATTAAACACAGAAATACGATGAATATGCCGTGTTCAGCAGCTAATCAGCCGGAATTAGCTGAGGTGAAGTGACCGAGACCAGCGAGACCTAGCTGTCACTCAAGTGGCCACGCCCCTAATTATGCAGACTTAATATAACCTAATATAAAGAAAACGGATGAGTTATAAAAAAAAAAAATTCACTCCCCTCAGAAGAGTAATATTAGCTATATGAACCAAAATCGTTTCTTTGTACCAGGCTGTAAACACACTTGTTTCTGCTGTAAATTTGGCTATTTTAGCAGTGGGCTCAATTGAAATTTGCTCCATATGGAGCCTGGACTAGCAGAATTTTGATGAATTGCAGTTTCAGTTACTTCCGTATTGGCTTCCTGAGAGAGAGCGGGGGGTTGCTGCTTGATTCCAACCCAATCCTTGGACATGGGGGTCACCTATGCATCCCACACAGATCTGGAAACTAGCGATTCGCTAATTTAATTTATGAGTGAATCTCCAAAAGACTGTTCTAGAGCCTACAGCTAATCAATCTGTCAGATTCTGCAGTGCATTACAGCTCTGAAGAGAAATATAATTCATCTTAAATAAAACAAATGCATGTTTACAGATGGTATAAAAGTAAATAACTTGACTCATATGAGAAATGGAGGCCACATGAATGGTTTGTGAGCACAATTAAGTGCACACAGCATCCCATACCATCTGATAATTGTAAACAATAAAGTCCAAAAGGCAACTAACTGTGTAAAAAACATTAAACACAGAAATATGATGAATATGCCGTGTTCAGCAGCTAATCAGCCGGAATTAGCTGAGGTGAAGTGACCGAGACCTAGCTGTCACTCAAGTGGCCACGCCCCTAATTATGCAGACTTAATATAACCTAATAAAAAGAAACGGATGAGTTATAAAAAAAAATTCACTCCCCTCAGAAGAGTAATATTAGCTATATGAACCAAAATCGTTCCTTGTACCAGGCTGTAAACACCCTTTTTTCTGCTGTAGATTTGGCTATTTTAGCAGTGGGCTCAATTAAAATGGACCTGGAGTAGCAGAATTTCGATGAATCGCAGTTTCAGTTACTTCTGTATTGGCTTCCTGAGGGAGAGCGGGGGGTTGCCGCTTGATTCCAACCTAATCCTTGGACATGGGGGTCACCTTTGCATCCCACACAGATCTGGAAACTAGCGATTCGCTAATTTAATTTATGAATGAAACTCCACAATTGAAACACAGACGCCACTAATGTTTACCATTTTTATTATAAAACTGACAGAATTTGAAGCGTCAAGACATTAACAAACTATAGACGGTAATAAAAAGACACTTGTCAACTCTGACTTGCCGTCCACAGCTGAAATTTAAAGTTCATCACTATGAAAGCTCGCTATGAAACGTCGCTCATTTACGTTAATAAAAACACACTGTTAACATGCTGACGTCATGTGACGGCAATACAAAACGATTTCATTTATGGCGAAGGAAAGGACAAATCAAAAGGTTTAAATTACATATTTACATACCAGCGTGTCAACAAGTCGGCACAAATACAGTTTAAAAGACGAGCTGCAACCGATCACAGCTTGATTTACGACAAACACGATTATCATCACGATCTCAAAACACCCCAACATTTAAAATGATTTGGCACGGTTACTGTACCCTTTAAGAAACCACTTAATATCTATATATCAACAAACAAACACTAAACTGAGACGACTGTAACAGCTAATGAGGCACATTAGGAACAAGCAAACAATATCAAAGCATCTTAAGACAGTCTAAAGGAGGATTCGATGAAGATATCGCAACGATCAACACACATCTGATTGCTACATGTCCATGAAGGCCCTCAGGCCGGGACAGGAGCGCTCTCAATACTGTCCGTCTCTGACCTTCAGGATCTGCGGTCGTAATCGCTGACCATCTTCTTGATGTGGTTGAGTTTGGCTTTCAGGTATTTGCACCGCTTCTTCTTCTGCTTGTATTCGCCGCTCTACAGAGAACACGAGAAAGAGTTTCAGACGGCAGATGTTGTGTTTAATACTAACAGTCGTGTGTGTGAAAGTCTGCTCACCCTCTTTTGGTCTTGGATCGCGTTGTACTCGTCCATGGCGTCCTGTTACAAGAGAATGATCAGAGTCAGCTCTTCACATGCTAACGTTAATTGTTTACTAAAAACACCAACAGAAGGCAAACAAATGGGTTAAACCGTAATGTCACTCAGAATCTCAGACTCTTACATTTAACACTTACATTTTAAAATGAACACCTCGTATTAGTAGAAATAATACTACTGAAATAATAATAAGAAGAAGAAGAAATATATAAAAAGTGGTAATATGAAAATTGTTTTACAGTATATGTTCAGTATTAAGACTTTTACATTACATAAAGAACTTTAATGACATTTGTATATTTGCGCAATTGATACTATATGCTAATATTATTACTATTATTATTATTATTAATAATAATAATAATCATTATTACTATTATTATTGAAAAATATGATTAAAACTTTTAAAATTACTAATATAACAACAAAATTTACTTATAAAACTTTTAATAATTATGAAAACCTGTTTAAATATAACAATTTAATAACTATAATAAAATACTACAATATAAAGTTAATGGTAATATGAATATTGTTTGACAGTATATTTTCAGTAATGGGTTTATACTTGAATATTGACAACTTTTCATACAAGGAACCAAGGAAACTTTTATATAAAAAACTGTATTAATGTTGTTTTTACATTTGCACAATTAATTGTACTAACTTTATGCTAACATTATTATGATTATTAAAATGTGAGATAGTAAAAATAATAATATAGACCACTGAAAAATACGTTTATAAAATTTTATATTTAATTTATATCGACATTTACATTAGCATCTTTATGCTATTGTTATTATTATATTATTGTTGTTATTAATATCATCAATAATATTAGTTTTAAAATAATAAGTGCAATAATAATAATTATTATTATAAATTTAACATTTTTATTTGACTAATTAAAATGAGATCGTGTAAATAATCACTACTGAAATAATAATAATAAACATACTTAATATATGATTAATGGCAATATGAATATTGTTTTACAGTATATTTTCAACTAAATCTTCTATACTATATATAGATTAACTTTTACATTTGCACAATTGTATATTTTTGCTAATAAATATATCTAAAATATATATTTGTTTATTATTAATATTCATTATCATGATCAATGTTATTACTTATAAATTATATATTACTACTACAACAAATAATAATAATAATAATAATAAATAAGATTAATGGTAATATGAATTGTTTTACAGCAGATTTTCTGTAAGAGGACACTTGACAACTTAATATTGATACAATTAATATTGACAAATATTGTAACAATGACTTAATATTCATAAATGTTATTTAATATTAATAAAAAATATAATATTGGCAACTTAATTTTGATTGTATATTCAAGAATTAGAATTTATATTAACAGTATTTTTTTACATTTGCACAATTAATTGTACCAACTTTATGCTAACATTATTAATAATATATTACAAAAATTACTTCTACTACTACTACTACTACTACTACTAATACTACTACTAATAATAATAAATAATAATTTATAATTATCATTTATAATAATAAATTATTGTTTTATCATCATCATCATCATCATCATCAATATTCTTAATTTTAATATAATAATAATAATATTACTATTATTATTATTATTATTATTATTAATGTACTGATAGTAATTGTAATATTATTAATTATATATTATTTATTAATTATAAAATCTTATTGAAATGTAACCACTGAATAATACTTATAAAATTCACAATATTCCTTTGCTCTGTTACTGTAAATGGATATGAATGTTGCAGTGTTTTATTCTACCAGGAACTGCGGGCTTCCCTCCTTGAGGCCGTCCAGCTCTCGGTCCACCTCTGCCAGGCGCTTGTTGATCTGGTCCATCTCCGCCTGCAGGTCCTTGTACTCCTGGTGGTCTTGATCAAAGAGGTGTTTGTAATCGTCTCTCTCTTGAGTATTCACAATAGGAGGAAACTCACTGTAAATAAATCAAAACGACAGCCATCACATCTGGAACCACACCGGACGTCACACTAGGGCTGAACTATACGACGGGAAAGCACATTTGGTGTGATCGGCCCCCTTGGAAAGGTTTTAACGCTAGTTTCATAAATCAGACGCCTGTTGATTTCAGCAGTTTCACCAACCTGAAGAAGTCGTCATCGTCCAGCTCGTCTCCTGAAGAAGCGTAGTCCGCGTCATAATCGCGTCCGTCAGCGGTGCGTGGACGTCCAGCACGCCTCTTCTTGGGCCGTCCTACAGAGCTGTTCATCTCAGAGCCGCTGCTAATAGGGACTGAATTACGGACGGGCAGAATCTCCCTGAAGAACACAAAGATGAGCAGCGTTACACAAACACACTGACATGACGCAACGTTTTATTCAAAGTCAATCATTATTACATATTTGGGTCTTTTGTGACCCGGACTAACATGGATGGATCTCTAATTGCCGCAGTAGCACAAAACACTGTTATTATTACTATTATTATTAATCATTATGATTAAAAGCAATAAAATAAAGTATAATTGTTGCCTACTAAACGTTGTAAACGCTCCAGTAATGCCGGATTTTATTTTCAAAATCTCGATGAACATGTTTATACATTTCTATCTGGTTCTTGAATCTGATTGGCTGATAGCCATGCGATATTCTGTCACTAACAGCACTCGTCCAGGCTCTTCACTCTTGTGTATAAAGCCTGGTTTATACTTCTGCGTCAAGAGACCGGCGTGACCCACGGCGCAGGTAACGCGCGTGGCTGTGCATTTACACTTCTGCGCGCTGTCTCTGTTGGTCTGCATTAACACTTCCGAAACGCTAGCTGGCAGTGAGGTGTAAATGTTCCTCTGTGTCGAGTTTCTTCGCTGGCGTTTTGTTTTTTCTGAACACTTTCTGAATGTACAAGTGGCTCAAACTCGTTCATTTTGAGGCAGGAACCGGCGGACGTGCAACAACTTTAACTATGAGGTAAACACAAAACCAAACTTTCCATCCGGAGCTCCTTCGCAGGACTCCACACTTGTAAACAATCGCTACATCAGGTTCGCGCAGCTATCAGTCCCGCCCAGACTCGTCAGTGCTACCAAGCCGACCAATCACAGAGCTTGCGCTACGCATCGTTGCGACGTGTAGTTACATTTTTTGAGAGGTGCACGTCAGCAACACCAACAACCACTCTGTCCACATACAGCAACAAGCAGAGGCCACTCTACAGTTTGACAAATACTGCAGCGGCTGTTGACGTTCCGCCACAAGATGGCGACAGAGTCCTTAAAGGGAGGAAAAACAGCATTTTCCCAGCATAAATTTCAAACTACAGCTGATCAAATTATTAAAAAACATGTCACTAACCTTCAAAAACGATCCCTTTTTTTATGTTAGTGTTGTATTTATACCACAGAAACTGCTAGTGTTTGCTTTGCTTTGGCTTTTTCCGGGTTAATTATTGTAAAATCCCGTTTTCAACAAAGAAATACTGGGAAATCTCTGTAGACTGGTGGCATTTCATGCTGTTCAGCCTTATAATCTTAAAGCATGAGCAAAAATCAGCTGTTTTGTGAACACTTTAGACATTACGCAAGAGAATCATTCTAATACTAGCTCTAAAGTGACGTTGGTGAATTAGTAACGGTTTCTGCTGTTCTGACATCAGCTGCAGATGTGAAGGAATCTTGGAAGAAAGTAGTTCCTAATACAAAAGGGTTTTTGAGACTCTCCGTGTTTGTTTTTCTTTTTTATACACACGTTTGTGCCGTCGAACTGTTGTATAAATGCAATATCACATGAGTAGCAGTGCAATGTGGCTGTATATTGTCACTGGTGGGATACTAAGGCCCCGTTTACACTATTGCAGTTTAGTTTTAAAACGGCGTTTTAGATCAAAAATGATCCGCGTCCACACTAGCGTTTCACCTAGCGTCTATGAACATATCTCCGTCCACACTATGCCACCAAAAACGTATATCACATGACTATTCGCGCTCTCTAGGCATGCGCGTTTGAGTATAAACAGGAAGCATGTGTCTCGCTCGGCATTTGGTTATTGTTAGTCAACAAACGCCGCTTGAACAATGAACGCGATGGCAAAGAAAGCAAGTGAGGTATTTTTGTGGACAGACGACGAGGTCGAGTTGTTACTAAACGTAACAAATGAATAACTGCATAATGGTGCCTAAAACAGACAATAGTGCAAACAACGCTCCCATTTCTGTGTCCATGTTGTTGTTCACAGTACTGTCTTCCGGTAGCGTTAAAGCCATGTGTTATAGTCATGTGATAGGGGCTTGACGAATAAGGGAAGGATACGCAATGACACAAAAGCCCCAATCAGGTAGCGAATCTCTGCAGCCCCGCCTCCGTTTTCAGATGTCTCCGTTTTCCTTCATCCACACTGAGACGGAGCAGAATGAAAACAGCCTCTCCAGCGCTTCCAAAACGCTCCGTTTCACGGCTCTAAAACTCAGGCGTAGTGTGGACGGATGGCGTAACCATAGCAAAACTTATGCATTTTAAAACGAGAACGCATTAGTGTGAACGGGGTCTAAGACACTCGGCCTCAGCATCCAAGAATGCTGCAGAATGTCTATTAGCATATTTGCATTGACTTTACATGTAAATCACTCACGCGTGACGTTTCATCCGTGTCTGGTGTGAACACAGCAGAACACCTATAGAAACCCTTACATATTACCAAAATACAGCAAATGCCAGACAAAATAAAAAGTTAAAAGGAAGTCTCTTACTGAAGCTACTTGCGCTAACATACCAAGATTAATGGAGATGCAATTTGAAATTTTTTTAAAAGTTTAAATTAAGGCTTTACTCACACGGGACTTTCACTGAGTGGAGGTTTATCGTAACTTGTGCTGTTGTCATCCAGATTGTTTCTGGAGCCAAACTTGACAGGATAGTCAGCCAGCAGACCCTCAGGGGCTCCATTCACATTATTGACCTGAGAAAAGCAGAGAGAGAGAGAGCATTCAATCTGGTTTGCAACAACGATCAATGCTGGGGATTGGAGTTAGTCTGCGTCTAACACGGTCTTTAATATTCTATAAGAGAGGGTCCCGGTTAGTTTGTCACATTTTTTAGGTTAAAGGGGGTCTATCCTGCCTCCTTTGCAAGATCAGGCTCTGATGTCCCTGGAGTGTGTGTGTGTGCGCGTAGTTTTAGCTTAATATACCACACTAATAATGTTTTATAGCTCTTTGAAACGGACCCTTTTAAGCTTTGTCCCTAATTGTGGTGTTTTGGTGACTGTCGCTTTAAATTCAAATAGGATTGCGGTCTCTTTAAAAGAAGGTGGAGCTACAATGCATGAGTGTCAGCATAGTGGCAAATCCAAAAACACGACTAATGACAACAGAAAATGTCAAAAGAAGGGGCTCAGGCCTAACCCAAACCAGTTAAAATAAACAGTAAAACTCAACATTTTTAATGCCTCTTAAGCCCCTTTCACACATAGACCTTTCCGGAAAATTGCCGGCAATTTTCCGGAAAGCTTGTATGTGTGAACAGGTCCTTTTTGAAAATACCGGTAAATTCGTTCTGGCTATTTTCCGGAAAGAGAAGTTCTAACATTACCGGCAATTTGCCGGAATGCTGCGCTATGTGAACGCAGAAGGAAGATTGCCGTAATAAGCGCGTGCACGTCTAGAACGTGCTGACGTGACACATCTGCTTTAGCCAATCACAACAGTCAGACGCATTCACGCCCGCGCGGTTTATGAGAATAAAAACCTTTAAATATTTTTCCAGACACATTTAGCTGCTAGAAGTTAGTCAGATCACGTTTATATGTTCTTCTTTATGCCAACCGTGTAAATAATCATCGATGAGATGCTTATGATAAGCCGTTGTTTGTTTACCTTCAAGCTTTGCGTGTGCCTGTGAAGTGAAACAGCCTGTGAGCGCCTGCACACGCACATATTATGAACATCTCGACCTGCGAAAGTGATCCTGCGAAAGTTGTTCACAATATTGATCATCCACAGAGTTTGTAATTTAGTCAAATGTTTACAAATACAAGTGCAGCCGTTTAAAGCTCATTTCTGGTGAATGATGTCAGAATTTACCGGTATTTTGGAATGGATGTGTGAACGCTCTTTTCCGGAAAATTTCCGTAACGTCCTCGCCTGTGTGAACAGCGCTTTTTTAAATATACCGGTAAAGTCGTTCCGGAAATTTTCCAGATATTTACCGGTATCACTGTGTGAAAGGGGCTATAGTCACTGACATTATCTTCAGCAGGTGAAAACTCTGATGGCAGACGGCTGCGTCTCACTCAGGGCCGTCTATGCTAATAATCAGAGCAGACGGAATCTGCGGACGTTTTTTGCTATTTCTGCTGAGAATTTTGGTAAAAATCTGCGGATTTTTGCGGAATTATTTTGGGAGTATCCAGCAGAGTATCATAACTAAAACCTTAATATATTAAATAAAAATCATAAATTACTGAATAAAAAATAAATATTCATATTTACACATTTACTCAAGTAAATAAATAGAATTAATAATGGGCTAAAAATCTCCAGAAATCTGCGGAAAATCAGCGGAATTCTGCGCGCGCAGATTCCGTGTGGGCCTACTAATGAGGGAGAGATGCTCACTAGTGGGCGGGGCTTTCCCTCTCTGATGACACGTACAATGAGAGAATGTCAATCAAAGCGTTTCTGCAGACTGTTTTTATAAAGTGTGACTATAAAAATGATGATTATAAATAGGCAACAGATTATTAATACATTTTTACAAATAGACGCTGGTTATATTCACACACTGCAGCCCCACAACAGGGTATAAACCCATTTTAAAAACTATTTTTGCATAATAGGTCCCCTTTAAATGAATTGGGACTCACTTTAAAAAAATCAATCAGACAGCATGAGGATATTGTTCTGCCTATAAAACCAAAAACAAAAAAAAAAGGTGCTTCAGAAACTTCGGAGCTCAGCACAGGACTAAAATATGCGCAAGGTTGGGGAAGGTTAACATTTCTTAAGCGTTTTAGTGAAGAGTTGGTGGATTCTTTCCTGCAAGGTGCAAACAGCAGACATGTTTCAACCCGTCTATCCTGAAGCAGTCAACAGATACTCCAGAACATCTCTAAAAGACTTCTGCGGTTCCATATTATATCTGGCTGTTTCCTTTAAAACAGAAAGAACAAACACTGAAACGAAAGAGCACGTCTTTTGCTTCACAAAGGTTTGCCTTTCTGGTTGAACCAGTTTTGCAGTGACTAGATGATCATGCATTGAACAGGAGACAAACACAACAATATACTAAACTCAATCTGTCACCTCCAGATTCAAACCAAAAGCAGATTGAAAGCATGAATAAGAAAACGTGCAGTTGAAATCAGAATTAATTGGCCTCCTGTGAATTTTAGGTTTCTTTTCCAAATGATGTTCATCAGAGGAAGGAAATTTTCACAGTATTTCCTATCATATTTGTTCTTCTGGAGAAAGTCTTATTGGTTTCATTTCGGCTAGAATAAAAGCAGTTTTACATTTTTTTTAAAAACCATTTTAAGGTCAAAATTATTAGCCCTCTTAAGCTATATTATTTTCAACTGTCTACAGAACAAACCATCATTATACAAAGAATTGCCCTGAACCCCAACAACACACAAGCCTTTCTAATAAATGTTGCCTAATTACCCCAACTTGCTTATTTACCCCGTTTACGCTTATAACAGGGTTTCTGCAGGTTTAAACGGGTAAAATTTAAGACCTTTTTAAGACCATTATGAATTAAATTTCAGACTTAAACAAGAAAATTGCTTAGATCTTTTTACTTGCCCCATAAAAATGTGTCGGAAACAAGAAAACTCCAGTTATATGTTTTTTTTTAATATTTTTTTTTTTTTAAAGAAAAGTTATGCTGTTTTAAAAACTGTAATAAACTAAATGCACAATATACATTTACGCATAAATACCTGGAGAACTGTGTGAGTGTAAGGAAGGCAATTAAACCCTACAGGTAATAAATGATATTTTCGTTAAACTGTTGGCCAATTGTGTAGCTTTACAAGAACAAAAGAAAATCAAGAACTGTTTAAATTTAAGACCTACAAAACCATACATTAGTGAATTTAAGACTTCATTCATTCATCTTTTCAGCCTAGTCCTTTAATTCAACAGGGGTCGCCACAGCGGAATGAACCACCAACTTATCCAGCTTATGTTTGACACAGCGAATGCCAATCCAGCAGCAACCCAGTACTGGAAAACACCCATACACTCATACTCATGCGTTTGGACTTGTGGGGGAAACTGGAACACCCATAGGAAACCCATGCAAACACAGGGAGAATATGCAAACTCCATGCAGAAACGCCAACTGAGCCAGCCGGGGCTCAAACCAGCGACCTCCTTGCAGTGAGGTGACAGCGCTAGCCACCCCGCCGCCCCTAATTTAAGACTTTTAAAGCATAAAAGATTTATTATTTGAAATTTATGACAGAGCCCACACTTGTTTAAATGTCACTTTAAGCTTAATACTAGCGTTTTGAAAGATATCTAGTGAAATATTATGTGCTGTCATCATGGCACAGATAAAAGAAGTCAGAATGAATCATTTAAAACAATTATCTTAAGAAATGTGTTGAAAAACATTGGGGACACATATACATGAGGGCTAATAATTCAGACTCGACTGTATATGCCAGTAAAATGGTGGGAGAAGCCTGCATATTTGATCAAGTAAACGTGTGGCTGGATTTTTTTCTATTTTAGAGCAAGACGAATGCATGCGAGTGAAACTGTCACAACAAAACCACACCCAGAAACCAACTGTGAGCGAGCGTTTCCCTCCCCCAACCACCAGTACAAACTGGTCTTTCCACTTAATGAGACTGAAAACCACACAAGTCAACGATATTCAACAGCAGACAGACCACTGCTCTCAGATAAACAAGTTTCAGCAAAGAGACGACAAGAGGAAGTTAATTAACTTGTGTGTTTGACAACAGAAAAAAGCACGGGTGTAGAACTGAAGCCCATATTTACTGCATCTCGAGTATAATGAACTCTAGAAGCAGTAGGAAATTATAGTGCTTTAAGGTCACATGGGAGGACAGAGAGTTTTAGGATAAAAGTATTTTAGTTTTGGGATTTTTTAGGAACTTAAATATCCCAAACGACGCCTGATGTCTAACAATGAGCTTAAATACGCGAATGAGAATTTTTGGCATTTTTTTTACAGATACATTCATGTAAATCTTTAATACTCTTCAGCTCAGAAACAGCTACTAATTTTCACAAATACTTACGGAGAATAACAGTGAATTCAATTTTGAAGTGGCAAATTATTCTCCTGCAAAATGTTCTTTTAACGGTGTTTGTAAAAACAATAAATAAATAAATAAAAAGCTGGATAAAGATTCTGAAAAATGTAAATATTAAAGTCAATTAACTGTATTTTTGCTTCAATAAATATTAAATTAATAGTTTATTTTAATTTCAGATTAATACAATTTTTAAAAAACATTTAATTTTATGATTATATTGATTTATGCAATTTATTATTATCATTGAAATGTGATCCTTTTAATTTATTTTAATTAACAATACAATTTATTTTTCTTTCATTTACACAAAATATCCACAGCTTTTCTAAATTCAAGTTAAATAAATGTGTTTATAATTTGCATTTATTTATATTCAGATTGATTATTTTTTTATAATGGTTCTTAATGCATAATTATATTGATTTATTTAAATTTGTGCAATTTATTATTATTATTATTATTATGATTATTACTCATGAAATGTATGCAGTTCTCTTTATTTTTGTTTCATTGATTTTAATGAACAATCAATACAATTTATTTCCTTTTCAGATACAAAGTCCATGACTTTTCTAAATTTAAGTTAAATAAATTAATAATTTGCATTTATTTATATTCAGATTTTAATTATATTTTTAAAAATGTTTTTTAATGCATGATTACATCAATTACTTAAAAAATTTGTGCAATTTATTATTATTATTATTACTACTACTACTACTACTACTACTAATGAATTGTATGCAGTTCTCTTTATTTTTGTTTCATAATGAACAATTAATACAACTTATTTTTAGGAACAAAAATATCCACAGCTTTTCTAAAAACAAATTATTAATACATTAATTTAATTTTTATTTATTTATATTCATATCTCAATTATATATATATATATATATATATATATATATATATATATATATATATATAAATAATGCTTTTTAACTTATGATCATATAGATTTTTTAATTTGTATAATTTATTATTATTATTATTATTGATTATTTTTTTGTTCTCTTTATCTTCGTTTTATTGATTATAAATCAGCAATTAATTAAAAAAAATGTTATATACAAAAAAATATAAATAGCTTTTCTAAACACTGGATGGATGGTTGGATCAATCGATTGATCGATAGGTAAATAGACAGACAGACAGACAGACAGCACTCACCCAGTCCTCCACATCTTGCGGGGAGTTCTGGTCATCAAATTCTTTCACTCTGCGCCATAAGATGTTGTCCTTCCCGTAATTGTTGATTCTTTGACGAGTTTTAATGGCGAAGACCATGATGATGATGAGAGCCGCGATGACAACAAAGTCCAAAACTAGAGCGATCGCCTGGATGAGGGACACAGAGAGGTCAGTATTAGTGAGCAATGAGTTCATATTAATTACAACTTACAAGAGCTTTTTTGTGTGTAGAATCAATATGTCTTTGTATCTCATCTAGGCAATCGCTCTTGTTGTCTATTACACATTACACACACAAAAACTACTATATTTAACAAATAAGTATTAATTGCAAAGAATTATTAAAGATATTAATGAATAAATAAATATAGTATATAGCAAAAACCTTTAAATCCACCTATTGGGTCAAGACATTGTAATTAGCTAAAAAAATCCCTAAAGATGCAATTAGAAATTATTTTACCAAACATAACACATTACACAGACCACCTGAAATTAAAAATATATAAATCTGTCAAGTAAGTGGCGGTTCATTCCGCTGTGGTAACCCCTGATAAACCAGGGACTTAGCAAAAAAGAAATAAATGAATGAAATCTGTCAAGTGTGTGTATTAATCAATAACATTAAAACTGACATTAATAAATCTTAACAATCTGTTGTCATTTCTGATTTTTGGGATTTAGATTTAAAATGTAAACATGCAAACATTGCAAAGCTTATTAGATTCAAATAATGTAGTGTAAAAACATTGTGAAACAGCAATATGTGCATTGTACAGGGTGGGCCATTTATATGGATACGCCTTAATAAAATGAGAATGGTTGGTGATATTAAAGTCCTGTTTTGGCACATTAGTATATGTGAGGGGGCAAACTTTTCAAGATGGGTGACCATGGTGGCCATTTTGAAGTTGGCCATCTTGGATCCAACTTGTATTTTTTTCCAATAGGAAGAGGGTCATGTGACACATCAAACTTATTGGGAATTTCACAAGAAAAGCAATGATGGTTTTGACGTAACTTTATTCTTTCAAGAGTTATTTACACGTTTCTGACCACTTATACACTGTGTTCAATGTGCTGCCCGTTGTGTTGGATTGTCAATGCAAGCCTCTTCTCCCACTCTTCACACACTGAGAGCAACACCGCACGAGAAATGCCAGCACAGGCTTCCAGCATCCGTAGTTTCAAGTGCTGCACATCTTGTATCTTCACACCATAGACAATTGCCTATTGATAATTTATTCATTAATATAGGTTTTATTATTACTACTATTAATATTACTATATTTAATATATAATAATTAATTCCATATGATTTTTAGAGATGATAAATCTATTCATTAATACTTAATTATTATTATTATTATTTGTATTGTTGTTCTTCCTCTTCTCATTATTATTATTATTATTATTATATTTAATATATATTCATTAATTCCAAACTATTATTAGAGATATATTTATTCATTAATATTATTTTTTTATTATTACTTTTAATATTACTATGTTTAATATATAATAATGAATTCTATAGGATTATTAAAGATGATATATTTATTAATATACGTTTAATTATTATTATTATTATTATTTTATTTAATTATTAGAGATAATTTATTTCTTCATTAATATATATTTTATTATTATTTCAGCTTTTTTTTGGTATGCTTTTGGTCAAGTCAAAAAACAGTCTATTAATGTTTGTACAAAATTAAAAGATTGTTTTGAAAAACAAAGCAACACAAAAACAACTTTAAGTGTACAATGCTGCGCTCACCTCTTGAGGGTCCACCACGCAGTAATGGTACAGATACTGGTTGACAAACGTTGACATCTGGGCCTGCTGGTAAGCAGCGCACATGGAGTACACCTGATTAAACTGCACCGACCCGGACGTCTGCGCCATTGGGTAAACCGTCACCAGGTACACTATGGTGGCGATGAACATGAAGAATGCCAAGAGGGCGCTGACGATAATGACAGACAGGTAAAACTTCCTGCCCTGGCACACTCTCTGGTGCGAGATGACCATGATGAAGATGACCATCAGAGCGATGAAGGTGATGATCGCCATGGCAATCATAAAGCCCTTCCCCTGCCTTGGGTCATTCTGAGAACCCAGGATCCCATAACCGAAACTTCCAGCTCCGCCCATTCCATAGCCCGTACCCCCAAAACCGCTGCCATAGGAACCACCATAGGAGCCTCCATAATAGCCTCCATTGGTTCCGAATCCGGCAGCTCCTGCATTGGTATCCCAGGCCAAAGTGGAGGCCACACAGACAAAGATTCCCACGCAGAAGATGATGGACAGCACACACATGATCTTTATGATGCCCGGTGGAGATGTCCAGCGGTAGAAATGCTGGAACTCATCGTCAGGATAGTAGGAGTACGCCGGCTGCGGAGCAACGTTACTGGAGAGAAAACATTGAGAGAGAGTAGAGATATTTCAGTTCCTCTAGCCAAGTCAGGGCAAAAACCAGAATTATCTTACAAGGAAACATAACGATTTAACATTTCGTCAGTTAGTGGCTAATTGGTACAAATTCAGTTGTTCAGTTGTACGAAAATGTATGATTTTTAAAGGTCCTATGAAATTAGAATAAAGTTTAGACGTTAGTTTCAGCATTGTTAGTTTGTAGGATATCTATAAGCTAGTGCGCACCAAAACACTGACAAAATTCACAGTTATAAGCTATAAAACTGACATACAGTACACATGTAAAGGGGTAATCTGTCCATTTTTTTATAATAGACTCTTAGAGGGATCAAAAGAGAACTCAATCTACTTCTCAGTGTGAAAAGATGATCTTCAAGAAGACATATCTAAAGAAGAAAGGATAGATTCTTGTTCATTTGTCTAAAATAATAGCATTAACACAAGTTGTAAAATACCGCAATATAAAATGGCTCCTATGAACTTGCATTACACCAGCTAAACTGCATAGATTTAACCCAAATATTCCTGATAGTTGTACAAAATGCATTGAAGTGAGTACCCTTTATCATAATGTATGGGAGTGCAATGAAATCCAAAATTTTTGGAAGGAGATTCTTATCATGAGATTTCCATTTTTAAGAAGGGGGACCCGAGGGTGTGCTCCAACTATAGGGGGAAAATCACACTCCTCAGCCTCCCTGGGAAAGTCTATGCCAGAGTACTGGAGAGGAGGATCCAGCTGATGATTGAATCGAGGATCCAGGAGGAACAATGCTGTTTTCCTCTTTGCCGTGGCACACTGGACCAGCTCTATACCCTCACCAGGGTACTCGAGGGTTCATGGGAGTATGCTCAACCAGTCCACATGTTTTGTGGACTTGGAGAAGGCAATCGACCGTGTCCCTCGTGGCATTCTGTGGAGAGTACTCGGGGAGTATGTGGTCCGAGGTGCTTTGTTAAGGGCCGTCTCGTCTCTGTATGAACAGAGTAGGAGTTTGGTACGCATTGCCGGCAATAGGATAAAACTTGTTTCCAATGCATGTTGGGTTTTGTTCACGAGTGAGGGCAGGATGGAACGTGAGATTGACAGGCGAATCGGAGCAGCAGCAGCAGTAATGCTGTCGACGTACCGGTCCATTGTGGTAAAGAAGCAGCTGAGCCGAAAGGCAAAACTCTAGATTTACCAGTCAATCTAAGTTCCTACTCTTACCTATGGTCTTGAGCTTTGGGTCATGACCAAAAGGACAAAATCTCGGATACAAGCAGCCGAAATAAGTTTCCTTCGCAGTGTGGCAGGGAGCACCCTTATGGACAGGGTGAGGAGCTCTGTTACCTGGGAGGAGCCAGTGCTCCTCCACATCGAGAGAAGTCAGCTGAGGTGGCTCGGATGTCTGCTTCGGATGGACGACTACATGGGGAGGTGTTCCAGGCATGTCCCACCGGAAGAAGGTCTTCGGGGAAGACCCAGGACACGTTGGAGGGACTATGTCTGTCAGTTGGACAGGGAATACCTCGGGATCCCCCCAGAGGAGCTGGAGGAAGAGTCTGGGGAGAGGGAAGTCTGGAGTTCTCTCCCAAGACTGCTGCCTCCGCGACCCAGCCACAGATAAGCGGATAGAAGTTATGATGATTCTTATCATGATTGGTGAATTGAAAAAAAATGTACATTTGGTTCCCAAAATATGTTTATTTCATATATACCCTGTAAACCTGGATCTAAACACAAGCCAACACAAACTATTAGATTTTAGTTCACTCAAAGGCCATCCTGTGGCCATTGGATTAAAGAAATGACTAGTAATCTTGCTCTGGAGAAGCTGACATACACTATTAAAGGGAAATTACAAGATTTATATAAAATATGGACCCCCTTTCAACACTTTTGGAACAAGGTGGACCATGCAACATTTTTTAATGTGAGAGCATTCAAACCCTTATTGTATTGACCTTATTCTTAAATGCGGAAGTGCGCCTGTTTTCACGATTGTCTTAGAACTTCCGATTCAGTGACCTATGGGAGAAATGACTAGGAATAATAAACGGCAGAAAACGGTCAAACTACTCACTCTACAAACAAATGTTTGCATGACTATACAGACAAAGTAAAATATTATAATAAGAAAATATCAAATTGCAACATCAAGCAGCGTAATGAGCAGTTTTTAACGTCAAAAAATGAATGACAGTGAATGAGACCGGAAGTCTCGAGCCAAAAAGATAAAAATGGCAGCGCCCGCTCGTCTGCGGAGAATAAGGTGAATTGTTTAGATGTCATTTCAGCAACAGTTAACAAATTAGTTTAACCAGTAACACTGGAAAGCTGTGAAATGGAAGATACAAAAATGCACTTAACTTAACTTGTTATTATTTATTTATTTTTTTAATTATGTACTGTTGTTATTTGAATTTATGTAATTTATTTACAGTTTAATTCAGAATTATTTGCCCCCCTTTGAATTTTTTTTTCTTTTTTTAAATATTTCCCAAAAGATGTTTAACAGAGGAAGGAAATTTTCACAGTATGTCTAATAATATTTTTTCTTCTGGTGAAAGTCTTATTTGTTTTATTTCAGCTAGAACAAAACGCAGTTTTTAATTTTTTAAAGACCATTTTAGGGAGATAATTATTAGCCCCTTTAAGCTATTTATTTTTTCGATAGTCTACAGAACAAACCATCATTATAGAATAACTTTTTTAATTATCCTAACCTGCCTAGCTACCCTAATTAACCTAGTTAAACATTTAAATGTCACTTTAGGCTGTATAAAAGTGTCTTGAAAAATATCTAGTCAAATATTGTTTACTGTCATCATGGTTAAAGATAAAATAAATCAGTTATTAAAACTATTATGTTTAGAAATGTGTTGAAGAAATCTCTCCATTAAACAGAAATTGGAGGAAAAATAAACATGAGGTCTAATAATTCAGGTGGACTAATAATTCTGACTTCAACTGTATATATTTATTTTCACATTTTTAACCATTTGTCTTTTCACTTTTTATTTTTATTTTTTTTTTTTTTACGTATTTTGTTCTGTAGTTCAAACAAAACCCAAAAATTATATTTCGAAAAAACTTAACATTTAATTTGACGCCACGCCAACATAAATGTATTGAGGTAAAGTTGGTTTTATATTCACACATTCAGAAGTTCTCCTTAATAATATACTTTCAGAAAAGTATTCTTAAATAGTGAAATCATATTATCAGCCAATGGCTATCAAAGTACAACATGGTTTACAGTCAATTAAATAGTGCTAATGTTGTTTTAAAGTCATACTTGCATGTGATTTCTCAATATTAAAAAGTACCGTGGTAAACAATATAGGGAGTATGTCACAAGTTGTCACTGAGCAAATGTGAGAATATAAAACCAACTTTACCTCAATCATGAATGTTTCTTCAATAATAGCTGTGAGAAGGGGACTTATTTACTCTCTCTCAAGTGGTTATAAACCTTATGAGTTTATTTCATTAGGGAACACAAAAGATATTTAAAAAAAAAAAGCTTTAAACAAGTAACCATTGACTTCCATAATAGAACAAACAAATACCACAGAAATCAATGGTTAAAGGTTTCCGGCTTTTTGTGTTTGAAGACAGAAACTCCTAAAGATTTGAAACAACAGATGAGTAAATGATGAAAATTTTCATTTTTCTGTGAACTAGCCACTTAACTTGGCAACCAGCCAAACAAATAAACATTAGCACTTCCAACATTTCAAACTAGCCATAGGCTTGCTGGGTAATACCAAAAAAACTTACAGTTAGTCCACACTAATAAGGCAAGTTTATGGGAACTACACCCTTTTAACGATGTAACGAAAACATTTAGTTTAAGTTGCGTTTGGTAAAGCAATTTGAGCGTAAAAGACTAATATAACAGGATAAAAATACACATTAACCAGTATAACACAGTAGAGGGAAACTGAGGTGAAACTCAACACTTACTATCCATTCTCTTCATAATCATAGGGCGGAGGACTCCCGATGTGCTTCGACGACATTCTGAGGCGAATAAAAGTAAATTAACAGGATATAAGTTAGGAATAAAATATCATACAATATAATACATCCATTATTTTATTAATCTTAGTCGCCATTAAGAACAAAAGTCAACATTACCGCGTAAAACTCCAGTAAAAAGATTTAATAACGTTAGTTCCTGAGGTAAATCTCTAATATGGATCAGTAATTATCTTTTAATAAAAGACAGTAGATCGAAAAACAATGCGGACAATTTATAGACAATATAGTGTAATTTTAATCTCACCTGTTAATACACCTGTGAACGTCCTGTTTTAGTGAATGTGTGTGTCACAGCTCAGGTGAGACAAACAACCTTTCCTTATTATGATCACGCCCCGCCCACACGCGCTCAGTCGTACCCACGCACATACACAAGGCGTCTCAATACATAGTTAGCTCCCTACCTAGAGAGCAAGGGCGAAAACTGTTTTTATGCACCGATTGTAATCTCTTAAAAACTGTAAAGGTGCCTGCAAATGCTCTCTGGATAGAAAGCATAGTAGATTTTGAAAGACGGCCACACACAGAGAGGGAGAGAGAGAGAGAGAGAGAGAGAGAGAGAGAGAGAGAGAGAGAGAGAGAGAGAGAGAGAGAGAGAGAGAGAGAGAGAGAATAACCTGGTATCGGGATGCAGGCATTTTACAGCATGGGTTTGTGATAAGACACACGCAAAATAACACAGGTGTGGTCACATTTCTTACATATGGTCACTGTTGCATTGTTCCAGTGCTTACACATTAAGAGCTACTTTACAAACTGCAATATTTAAAGGGATAGTTCACCCGAAAATGATCAATTCTCTTCTTTTTCCTCGCCCTCAAGTGGTTTAAACCCCTTATGACTTTCTTTTTTAATCAAGAACTG